TCGGTTGTAAACTGGGGTCGGATGTTTACAGAGGCTGGTGTGTTTACTGACGGAGGATATTTACTCACAAACTATATAATTCTTGATAGACGAGTTGGGTTCCGTGGTGGAAGATATTTGCATTAAAAAAGCCTGAGAGAAGGCATTTGAGAAAGATTGTAAGGCATTTATGAACTTAAAAATATGAAGGACTTGGGAATGAGGAGCATATTGGCCGAGATCTGTTAGGTGATGTGAAAGTTTCAAAGTAGGTATCAGTGTATGTTCTAGCCTAATGGATACTAGCAGGCTAGTCATTAGGCTACTGTGGTGGCCTTCATAACACCCCAGAGATTGATACGTAGACCTTTAAGCCCAACACAACACTCAACCTTATATACCGAGACCTCTCATACATCTAGGCCTAATATTCCTTTCATACAAAAGGTCTCCCATTTATTTATTTTATTTATTTATATACAAGAAGGTACATTGGGTTTGAGAGAATACATAGCATGCATGCATCTAGATGCACCAATGCATCTAGTTCAGTCAAACCTTCTCTACGAAGGGCTCTATCATGGTCCTTTAATACGTGCTCATTTTATTCACACACACACACACACACACACACACACACACACACACACACACACACACACACACACACACACACACACACACACACACTATTGAGCCTATTGAGCCCAATAGGTTCAGAAACCTGTACACCAGTTGATTGACAGTTAAGAGGCGGGACCAAAGAGAAAGAGCTCAACCCCCGCAAGCACAAATAGGTGAGTACACACACACACACGCACGGTCTCGTGGCTGAGTGGACAGCGCTCGGGGGACGTAGTCCTAAGGGCTCGGGTTCGATTCCCGGGCAAAAACAAATGGGCAGATTGCTTAGAAAGGCGGATTCCGTTTTCTGTTTCTGATTTCTCGAGCGTTCCAAACGTCACTAATCTGATGCACTAAATTGCCCGAACCTAACCTACCAGAAGACCCACGAAAAGGAAACGGGTCATCCCTGGGCAATTTTGTGAGCCGCTACCATTTTCAGTACATCAGTTTTTCGCCTTAGAAAAATTATGTCAAAATGCGATGTACTATTCAGGAGAACGGGAGAGCAGCATTGGTGTGAGGTGTGGAGTGGTGTATGTGTATTAGGCATATGGTGTATATAAAGGAAAAGATGGGTGTAGAAGCATTACGGGCTCACCATAGCCCGTGCTACATGGACACTTCGTCCTGAGTAGCTAAATCTGAAACAACAACGTGTAGGAGCATTACGGGCTATTCATGCCCGTGCCACCTCTTGGGTGGCTTAATCTTTATCAATCATCTGTAGGAGCACCCTTGGAGGTGTATTGGGAAGGATAACCACTTGGTAAGATATTAATGAGCCAGTGTTTACACAATGACGTACCTGTAGATGGGAGTGGGGAGGGCGTGGGCGGCGTCTACAGCACTACATGGCTACATCACGCCCACGGTCTTGCCGGTCTCTGGACGCGAATGCCTGGACACGTGATTCCTGTAACAAAGAAATAAAGGGAAAATGCCTTTTACAGGGCAAATTTATAGGAGCTTCAAATATAACTATGGACATCCAACCTCCAGATCTGAAAATACAGGAAATGACGTTTCGGTCCGTCCTGGAACGTTATCAAGTTGTGTAATTATACGACTTAATAACGCTCCAAGATGGACCGAAACGTCAATTTCGTCATTTTTAGATTTGTGTGCTGAAAGTCTAATTTTTTTTTAGCCACGTTATTGTGACAGTCTGATATATATCTGCACAATAGTTTGCCCAACAACACCGCGACAGAAAACGGTGACCCAAGACACCAAAAAGAACTAGCCGGTCCGCGTCAGCTTGCAATCCTTTTCACGGCCCGGAAGCGCAAACTTTAGCCTAAGTTATCCAGGGTGTGATTAAGTTAGTGTCTGCACTCTTGTTACAAGAGGAAGGGCTTGTGACATAGTTAATCTGATTGTAAAAGTTGTGTAACCGACGCGGTGAGCTGATCCTGCATGTTTGCAACCTGACCCATGTGAGAAATGTTCGTACAGTGTGCAGAGTTGTATATATCCAACAATGCGCGTTATTATGTAATTAATTCGCCACTCCAGCATTAGATTGACACCAATTGTTGGCATTCTTCTAAAGCGCTCTGGAGTAGTTTGTAAGTCGGCTTACAGTTGATTAGAGCAGTTCGATCCCTGGGCGGATCGAGACGTTTTTCTTACACCTGATGGCTCTCTTCACCTAGCTATAAATATGTGCCAGGGAGTTAAGCGACTGTTTGTTTACGGGCTATTCATGCCCGTGCCACCTCTTGGGTGGCTTCATCTTCATCAATCTAAGCGACTGTTGATTGATTCCTGGGGGCACATCAGTCATTGGCCTGGGTGGTACCTCAATAATCGTATACGGTTACCTGTCCCATAAAACGGTATACAGTGACAATTAAAACGGCCTCATTTCAAAAGGAAACGACAGTACACTATTAGTATAATGTTCTGGGAAACATTTGTTTCATATCAACCGACAGAATATATTTCAAATTTTGTATATTACATCGCATTTTTAGTTTCAAAAACTTTAACGTTATTTTAGACGAATATTCTTCTTTTCCTGTATACAAAATAGGTAGTAACAAATTTGCATAATTCTAATATTCTGGGTGGTTAATGTTGAGCTTAAAGCCTATCGTTTGGCGGTGGGAGTGTCATTAAGCCCAGCACAATAGCTTATGACCAGCCAAGAAGTACACTTCAGTCCTCAACATAGTCCACGACTAAAGTCAACTCGGTATATAATATATATACCGAGTTGTTTTTAATTTGTTAAAACTAACATAGAAATTTGATCGACCATAACGTAACCTATGCAGACGATGAGTCACAATAACGTGACAAGAAATGCTGACCAAGCCACACTCCAGAAGATGAAGAAGCGACGACGTTTCGGTCCGTCCTGGACGAAACGTGCGTCCTAACCTGTCCTAACCTAACCTAACCTACGCTAACCTAGGTTAATTACGCGTGTTCTTAATGCAATAACAATTGGAATATTATTTTTGAAAAATAAAACAATTTGAAAATAACGAAAATCACTCAGATTGCTAGTGCAAATCGGGCTCTGCATACTAAGCCAAGTAATGCGGTTCTGGCTATTAGGCACGACACATACTAGTACTGATAGCAAAATATTTGGTCAAACATACCAACATGTACTGTTGGAGCCCTACATTTTCACATTTTGTGCTATTAATATTAGAAGTCCGAGGAAAATGCTAAAACACAAATTTAAACATTCTTAGGAGTAGAGAAAATCATGGGCAGGTGAAACTAAATTTAACATTCCTAGACTTATGGATTTGGTGCCATCTTTTAATTACTTACTTAGTCTTAGAGAAACTTAGAGAAACCCTAGTTAATGCGTCCATGTACTTCTATTGTATATCAATTCTCTTTTGGGTCTAAGTAACCTATACAAAATTAAGAGTAAACTAGACAAAGGTGCCCAGTGTGAAAAATATCCACACGGCTAACACTGAACACATGGCTAACACTGGACGCATGGCCCACACGGCTAATACTGGACACATGGCTAACACTGGACACATGGCCCACACGGCTAAATACTGGACACATGGCTAATACTGGACACATGGCCCACACGGCTACCACCACTGGACACATGGCTAATACTAGACACATGGTCTACACGGCTACCACGACTGGACACATGGCTAATACTGGACACATGGCTACCATTGGACACACGGTTAGCCAACCACGGCTTAGCCAAAACACGGCTAACACTGGACATATGGCTCACACGGCTACCATTACTGGACACATGGCTCGCACGGCTACCACTGGACACATGGCTAACACTGGACACATGGCCATCACTGGACACAGGGGCCCACACGACTAACACTTGATACATGACAACACCAAACATAGCCTAGCTGCACTGACCATAGCCTCAATATTATAATACCAAACATTTCAATAATTAAGGCCTACATTCGAGACAATAACGAGCATATCCACCATTACTAGTAGTGAACAGGGCGACTAAAAACCAGCTCAATTAATACTGTAGTAAAAATAAAGGTAGGCCTACATATATCTGCATGCAGGTTAACATGTAGATTGTGTAGTAGCCCCTATTAGATTATTAAGCACCATCTAACCATCCTGTGGGCGGTGCTCACCAGCAACATTATTACCAGTTGTTGTTGCTGTCACTCTCCTCGGCCTTGTTAGCTCTGGCATTGTCCGCTACCAGTGTGGTTATAAGAATTATTCCTACACCTAAAATTTTTAATGTGCACCATCCAGGAAGATATTACGCTTGTACATTTTTCTTTTACAGGTTATTTACGTTCTATGAGACGCCTGTATGCATTTTGATAATAAGAAATATAAATAATGCAGCAATGCTGACTGGAAAAGCTCTTTAAGATGAAATCTTAAGTTACTCATGCAACCATCTCTTCATCCCAGCCTCTGGCTATATTTACAGTGAACAGCACTCTTGGTAGGCGGTACTGAACAGAAACACCCTACACTCTACAAGGCCGCACTCATCAACTTACCGGCAAACGCAGGAGGTGCAAAAATGGGCAAATTCCCGCATGCAAACCTCCATTCAGCACTGAGGAGCGACACTCGCGCCGCCAGACACCGCGGCTCCCACAACAACTATCCCGCGATCAATGACCAACCGCTCAACTCCATTAATAATGCGTCCTCCACTATTCACTACACACGCATAAAATTCCAAGGAGACAATTTTAATTAACGAACAAAATAAATGTTTAATTAAATGAAGAGATGGGCGCATGAGCATGTGGAATGAGAAGGAGGAAGAGGATGTGGTTATAGCGGTGTGGAGCATCCCGGCGGCGCAGATGGGCTCAGCTGACCTGCGTGGATGCTGCTCCTCGATGTAAACAAACCGTCACGCCCAGAGGTCAGTGTTGCGAGTTTCACTCCTCATTAGACTGTCTCCTCTCCCTCTGTATACCTTCATCAACACCCCCATAATGAGCGTGTGTCGTTGTGTCGTTGTGTAAGCCCGGGGCAGAGTGGTAAACTGACGCGGCGATGCACTCACCCTGGTCCTGTAGAGTGCATTGTGACTCACCCTTTCAAACCTGACTCATTAGATCTTGCAAGAAAATCTAAACTATTTTAATTTAACAATCTAGTGATGATAAGAATAGTTACTAACCAACTAGAGGTGAGTTCATAAAGAACCTTATTATGAAGGCTAGTGAGAGGTAGTGGAGTGAGAGGCAGGTGGTGAGAGAAGCCGTGGAGGGGAGGCTCAGGCCAGACCGGTTGTTGGTCGCACCTGCTAACCTCAAACGTTATCACATCTAAGTTTCGCTTCAAAGGAAAAACGACGATACAAACTTCTTGAAAAGATTCAGTTTAAATTGTGATCATGTGAAGACAGGTCCCATATATATCGCGTTGCATGAGATGATCAAATTCCCTTCCTGTAAAACGGATTGACTGTTAAACTGGCGGGAAGACAGTCAGACATTACCATAGGAGTGGAAACTAATTCTTCATGTATAATTAAGCCTGTATTATTTATAATTTATTTATCCGACTTATTAATATGTAATTATGTACACACATATATGGGACGTGCAGGTAACAAAAGGGTACTTATGGGCTGTTATGGATGACGGGGGGGGGGAGGGGGTTGCGAATGAGGTAGAGATAAGAGGGGTCGTTATAGGGTGACATTGAAGCTCATGGGATGAGTTCTGTAGGAAAGCTTCAAGGGGTCTAAATGGAGTTTGACCATTGGGATATCATGAGTGAGGCACGGAGACTGATTTGATTTGAATGTGGCAAGGAAGTGAGGGTTTTTCATCACAGCGATGAGCATTAGAAATTGTGAATAAAACAGCGAGCTTGAAGAGTGTGGATAAGCAATGAATAGTAAAGGTTAAAGGGGGCGTGAGTTGAGCAGGGAGGTATGGGTGGAACAGTAAAGGTTAAAGGAGGCGTGAGTTGAGCAGGGAGGTATGGGTGGAACAGTGAAGGTGAAGAGGCGTAGTTGAAGCAGAGAGGTTCAGGGGATGTGAGACAAGATTTATGATGGGTCGTAATAGGTGTCTTATTAAGGCAAGGAAGTAAGAGGTTGTGGGTGAGGCAGGGAAGTTGAGGGGTTGAGATTGAGGTAGGGAGGGTGAGGGATTGTGAGTGAGATAGATATTCTAAAAAAATGTGTGTGCGAGGCAGAGATGTTGAAGGGTTATGGAACATGCTGAATGGACTGAGAGGTCGTAAGTTATGCAGGGAGCCTGAGGGGTCGTGGGTTGGCAGGGAGCCTGAGAGGTCGTGAGTTGTGCAGGGAGCCTGAGGGGTCGTGGGTTGTGCAGGGAGACTGAGGGGTCGTAGGTTGTGCAGGGAGGCTGAGAGGTCGTGGGTTGTGCAAGGAGCCTAAGGGGTCGTGGGTTGTGCAGGGAGCCTGAGAGGTCGTGGGTTGTGCAGGGAGCCTGAGAGGTCGTGGGTTGTGCAGGGAGCCTAAGGGGTCGTAGGTTGTGCAAGGAGCCTAAGGGGTCGTGGGTTGTGCAGGGAGCCTGAGAGGTCGTGGGTTGTGCAGGGAGGCTGAGGGGTCGTGGGTTGGGCAAGGAGCCTAAGGGGTCGTGGGTTGTGCAAGGTGCCTGAGGGGTCGTGGGTTGTGCAGGGAGCCTGAGAGGTCGTGGGTTGTGCAGGGAGGCTGAGAGGTCGTGGGTTGTGCAGGGAGGCTGAGGGGTCGTGGGTTGTGCAGGTAATTCGAGGAGTGCCAGTCAGGGAGGCTCAGAGGTTAAGAGCGGCAGAGAAGTTCAGGATCTTAAGTGGAACATGTGAGATAGTAAAGGGTTTGTAATGTTGGCGGGTGTTGCAAGGAAGAGGTAGTAGGTGTGGGGAAGGGGGTAGGCATGGTGTAACGTGCTGAACACCTGTGAACACATGAACACTTGTGGACAATGAATAATCCGACAGTTGGCTCGATCGACGGTTGGCGTTTTTGATCGAAGCAAGACATATGGTGTGAGAGCAAAGAGCTGGTAGAGGCACCACCATTTCATTTTAAATAGAGACCAGATATGGAATGAGGGAGGGAAGCTGGTCCACAGAGGAGAAGGAAGAGGCAGTGGTGGACGGAACTGAAGGAGGGTTGGGGTCGGCGGTGTGAGTGGAGAGCCAAGTGACTGACATACGTGTGTGCAGAAGGAAAACGCCAAGGCCCCAGATGTAAGTGCACATATTCCCTTGTCCAGGATTAATATGTATATTGCCTGTAGGTTTATAGCTAGTAAGCATGTCTGTTTATTTTGTTGGTTAATAACTTAGAACTGTAATCAAGCATTAAGCATTACCCTAATCTTTCCCTCTCCGATGGTTTCTCTCTCAAGATTACTAACTTAAGAGTGTGTAAGTTACGTGGCTATGCAGACGATGTGAGCTAATATCATGGCAAAAGATATGATAACCAAACCACACATCAGATGGTGGTGGGTATTGCCAGAAGGTGGCGTTGGGCGTGGCACTGTATGTAGTAATGGTAAGGGCGGGATGGCAGTGGACATGACAGGGGATGGTAGTGAACATAGCTAGGTGATTGCTGGCATGGCAGTGGAGTAGTAGTAGCCGTAACAAGGAAATGATAGTGGTCATGTCAAGGAGGTGGTGGTAGTCGTGGCAAGTAAGTAGTCGTAGACGTGGCAAGAGGAAGGCGATGCGTATGGCAAGGAGTCGATGCTGGGCATCAGACGGAAGTGGGCCAAGTATTGATTACATAAAATAAGTCACAGTAATGTAGCATAAAGTAAATCAATCAACCCACACATAAAATGAAAAGGACGACGTTGCAGGCCGTCCTGGACTTAAAAATTCCTTGGTAAAGAGTCCAGAACGGACTAAACCGTCATTACTATCAATTAATTTCATATGTTGGGGTGTTAGGTTATAAGTATGGATTGTTGCCCATGTCATCAACGAGCGCCCAAACGTCATGTTGCCTGGCATGTTAACACCGATCAATGTGGTGGTGACCTTGAGGCTTCCTTCGTCCCACACAGACCTCTCTACCTGCCGCCACTCACATTTAATGCATGAGGCTAACCCTCCATCCCTTCCTCTATAATCCCCCCTCTCTCTCTCGTCGTTTCTCTCTCTGCGTTTGTGTCCGTCATACTGTCGAGTGTCGTAAATGAAAACATTTTGTCATCGTCGTACCTGAAAACATCTTGTCGTCGTACCTGAAAACGTCTTGTCGTCGTACCTGAAAACTTTTGTTGTCGCAACTGAAAACTTTTTGACATTGTCGTAAATCTAAAAAAAAAATAAATGAGACTTGGAAGTTGTCTTTCATGATCAAAGAGCCCAATTCTAAAGCAAAACAAAAAACAACATAATGTTGCACATGTGAAGTTTTAGTCAAGTTGCAACAGGTGGACTCGTGTTGGCACGGGAAACGATGTAGTTAGGCGACCCCTGCCAAAGTCAGGACATAATATTTTTTGTTTTGTTTTTAATTTTATCTACCAAACTTAAATAATGCAAATAGTAATAATAACAATATTAATATTTGTCACGCCTTAGCCTATTTCATACAGACCTATATAATTGTAAGTTATTAAGGAATTGAAAGTTTACCCCCCCCCCCGCGTTCAGAATGTTTGGTAATATATTTATTGTTTGTGATATGTGTATATGTATGTATTAACACGATGTACTGAACGGGGTGAGAAAAGTTTGAGCTACCTCATCCCTTTGTGTGTATTTTACCTCAATAAATTTATTTCAATTTCAATTTCAACCCCCCCAGCTGTCCAACGCGTCTCCCCCTTCCTAAAGAAATGAATGATTCCCTCGTAGTTTTTTAAACATTACCGGTTAAGGTAAGTTAAGTAAAAAAATGAAACAAACAATAATGCCACTGTCTGGGATTATGATATTTTTGTCACTGCAAATGTTCTTACCGAGCAATATACATGTTTAGGTTTAAAGATTTAACTGTGTATATGTTTTGTGTTTGAGAGGAATACAAAATAGATGATTGATTGATTGATAAAGATTAAGCAACCGAAAAGGTGGCACGGGCATGAATAGCCCGTAAGTGGAGGCTCTTTGGAGCCATTATCTGTACCAATAGCTGATACTGGTGATCTGTGGATGGGTGGATTTTTTTTTTTGGGGGGAGGGGTCTGTCTCAGAGAGCTAGCTATACCAACTATAGAGCTGGTGAGTTAGTGAAGGTCGCTAGGTCTTCCGTTTTTTCTTAGTCTGAGTCTTGCTGGGAGTTGACTTGGATGTGCTTCATTGGAGTTCGGTGATGTGGCCTCCATGAGGAGATCTTGTACGTTGAAGGGGAAGAGCCACGGCAATGGAGCTCTTATTGAGATTTCCTCGCCTGAGTAGTCCGTTTTTGTGGCTTTGGTCTCACAGCCTGAGGCTGAGCTTGTCTCTGGAGTCGATGAATTGTGGTAGAAGCTGGTTCGGCCACGTCGGTTGGTGTTGGTGGTCGAAGAGAACACGCGTCTGCAAGCGCCTCTGCTGAGATGGTGATGGTGGTAGCTTTTGGGGCTGGATTGGAGGACGCTGCTGTTTGTGCAGCCTGGGTCTTTGGCGTAGCTGAAGTCTGAGTTGAGATCAACCTTGTAGAAGTCCCTTGTGTTGTAGGGGAGGTAGTGAGACTTGCGTCAGGGGCTGTGATGAGGTCCAGGTCATTTGCTAAGTACAGCACATTCAGTTCCCAGACGAATCAGTGGTTGACGAAATAGATAGAGTCCAACACAATTTCGCTAGAAATAGGGTAATGTGAATTCTGTGAATTATTATCTAAGTATCACCTTAAGATTTTTCTTTGATCTAAATCCCAAGTTTCCAATCGTAGTTCTCTTTCATCCACACGATAAAATTAATTGATCTATATCTCACACATACCCCTGAATTTCTTGAAGTACAGTAATTAATTTCTTCATTACTTACGAAATGCTAGGAGACTTGGGCAGCATTGGGTGGCTTTGGGTAATTCTACGGACGCTGTTTGGATGGAGTTCACGCCTTGACGCGGTTACGAGCTAGTCGTGCCCTTGCCACCTATTGGGTGGCTTAATCTTCATCAATCTTGACGTGGTTATAAAGAGGTGCGAACGGAAACCAGCCGCAACCGCGTACAAGGCGGGTGGACCCATGTTTCGGATCCGGTTAAGAGCAATCCGGATGTTAATGATCGTATAAATTATCTACATCGCGCTTCTGGAAGCATTATTTTTATTATTTTATCAATGAGTTAATAACTTAAGCTTCTTGAGGGTCTGTGAAAGGTATTGAGGACCTGTGCATGGGATCTGAGGAGAGCTTTATCGAGGACCTAGAAATGTCTGGGGAGGGCCTGTAAAGGGTCTGAGGAAGGCCTGTAAAGGGTCTGGGGACAGCCTGTAAAGGGTCTGGGGACAGCCTGTAAAGGGTCTGGGGACAGCCTTTAAAGGGTCTGGGGACAGCCTTTAAAGGGTCTGGGGACAGCTTTTAAAGGGTCTGGGGAGAGCTTGTAAAGGGTCTGGGGAGGGCCTGTAAAGGGTCTGGGGAGAGCTTGTAAAGGGTCTGGGGAGGGCCTGTAAAGGGTCTGGGAGAGGGCCTGTAAAAGATCTGGGGAGGGCCTGTAAAGGGTCTGGGGGAGGGCCTGTAAAGGGTCCGGGGGAGAGCCTGCAAAGGGTCTGGGGGAGGGCCTTTAAAAGGTCTGGGGAGGGCCTGTAAAGGGTCTGGGGGAGGGCCTGTAAAGGGTCCGGGGGAGGGCCTGCAAAGGGTCTGGGGGAGGGCCTTTAAAAGATTTGGAGAGGATTTGTAATGATTAAGTGCACTAATAATGCTGATTACCTTGTTATTGGCCCTGCCTCCAGTTCAGCCTTTTTCTGAATAAATATTAACATAGTTAATAATTGCTTAATGTTGTCTTGTTCATGACTGTAGGAGGTATAATTAAATAATATAATAGGCAACAATTAACAAACTTCATTATCATAGAGCAATTATATACAAATCAATGGGTGATTACAGTTTGCTCTAGAAAATGCCAACAAGATCCAAATTACACTATACAGGAATGACTGAGTAAGGCAGAGAAAACTTAATTACCATGCAAGTAGCCACCATAAGAACTAGTTAATCTAGGTAAATCAGTATCATAGGTGGCAGCACTTGGTTCACCAGTTACACAACTGTACGAATAATAATTCCTACGCATTGTGTATGTTCACTATAGGTCGCCTCAGAACATTACCAGAACTCAGAACATACCTACTCAGAACATTAGCAAGAAATGTCTGGTTAGGGTGGTCATAGAGATGAGCCGCAGTTCGCCATGCTCTGATCAAATTTGTACATCCTTTGGCTGAACTAGGAGAACAGGCTCGCTGTCTCATAATAGTTGCCACATCTCCCCTAATGGTCAGTGACAGGTAAATTGTGTCTTTAAATGCAATATCCAATAACTCCACTAGCTAGTCACAATTATTCTCCTATTATTCACAATCAGTAACCTTACACTAACACATTTTAACAATACATAAGAGCAGAACTAACCCTATATATCTCGGACCACAAGCAGGCACAAAACCAAAGTGACAGTACAGTATATGGAATAATAATGTGCAGAATACAGGTGCAATATCTCAATCCCCTAGGAACAATGTCAAAATTTTAAATTGCTTCTACACAAATGCCAGAAGACTAGTAAATAGAAATAATAGTTCCCTACCGATAATTTCAACACCTATAAAAGTACTGTACAGTTGAAAAAGTGTCAACATCACCATGCCCAGTCATGCATTAATAATTTGCACCACCGATGACTTGCTGCACTGAGAGACTAAACCCAAAGACTAACTAGAAGATTCAAACTCTTTATAATTTATGTAATTTTCTGTAATACAGTAATTTGTAATTGTATTTGTGCTGCTTTTTCAACAATGTTCCCCCCTCTTTTACCTCTATTTTTATTTGTTCTCAACACATTTTATTCTTTTTACCCATTAGTTTTAAGCTTTAGTCATTAATGTTTTTCCTGCCCGAAACACTTTGCGTAATAGTGGCTTTAGGCATTGTATGTACTAGCTCTATCTATAAAGCCAACAAACTTTGTAAAATCTCTTTATGTATGTACCTTATCTAAATAAAAATTATTATTATTATTATTAATTAAACTTACAACCAACATATTACTGGTACAGTACATATAATTTCTGCTGTACATTATGCAAATAATTATTCTACATTCCCAGTAATAAGAAAACATGCAAACTTATCAATAGCCTTCTCTGGCAAATTAGCACATGTTTGATTATCATTCTGATTAATCTACTTTAAATTTATATATGCTCAATGCTAAATTTGCATGCACATTTCTCTTAGCAATAAATTAAAATAAGCAACAACTCTTTTCTTTAAATAAAGTTACACACAATGGTATGCAAATTGTACTCGAGCATTTAAAATAAAGTTATGGCTTAGGCCTAAGCCCAGTTCATAACAACTGTATAGGGTCTGGAAAGGACTTATAAACAGTATTCCCCTAACATTCCCAGGCTCATCCCAAATCAGTCTTACCTGATTTCCTCAATACATCCCCAAATCATCTTCAGGCCCTTCTGAAATCAATTACAGTACTGGACAGTGTAAAGTGTTTGGGTAGGGCGTATAAAGGGTCTGGGAGGGGATGGTAGGCCTTCAGGTAAATTTAGATGTATAAATTATTTTACAGAGGAGTGCAGGATGGAGCCCCTGGAGCTGGTGCCAGGCCGCTACATTGGGGAGGGTCAGCCCTGCTTCATTATTGCTGAAATTGGCCAGAATCACCAGGGTGATATCGAGCTAGCCAAGACACTTATACGCAGAGCCAAGGTGAGTGTATGCTAAAACAATACCTGTAATACCTTTGAAAAGCAGATAATTACTTTAAATATACAGTACTGTACATTCTAGATAAGGGGGTACCGATAGTGCACTAGAGTAATTAGGTGAAATTCTTAAAGTATTATGGTTCACTGGGGTTCATTACTATGAATCAGTGTTTTCTACTAAATGCAGGTACTTACTTAAGGCCTAAATGCTTTGGTCTTAAGCCTAAATATAAAAATATGAACGATTAAAAATCATGATAATTTTTTATATTTTGTGACAATGAAGGAAAGGAGTCAACTGAATATAACCCTCTAAAAAAAATTGTGCAATGATTTCTGATCAACTCCATTAATCTTAAAAGAAATTTACTCAGAATGATTGTGTTTTAATTTCTGCAGTACAGTTGTAATTTTACATGTAATATCCATTTATTATCTTGAAAAAATGGCATCTTAAAAAATTTGATCTAGGGAGTCTACCGGTACTTCTTTTGTCCATGCCTTGTTTTCTCTTGTAATATTAATTTCATTGTAACCATATTTTATTAATTCCTCTTATCATTAAGGAATGTGGTGCCGACTGTGTCAAGCTTCAAATGTCATCCTTACCTGACAAGTTCAACAAGCAAGCCCTCAACCGCCCCTACAAGTCAGAACATGCATGGGGAGAAACGTATGGTGAACACAAGAAGCACCTAGATTTTTCTCGAGACCATTTACAAGAGCTGCAGGAATATGCCAGGCAGCTGGACATCCCACTTACAGCTTCTGCCATGGATATAGTAAGTTTCCTGTAATCTTGTTTAGCAGCTTCTGTATGATAGTAATTAGCATACAGATCTGATACACATGTACAGATAAACATACCAATGTACCCTAACAAACATTTACAAACAACCTACAAATTTGTATACGTACAATATTACATTTTTGCTGTGACAGGCTGCAAATTACATTAAACCAATATTTAAACATTTGCGTCCTATATTTGTTAATTTGAATGAGAGTCGCTGTGTGATTTATTTCATAGTACAGTTGGTTCGTTCTCACCTCACAGTAGGGGTTCCTGGGTTCAATTCTTAAGGGGGATAGAAGTAGTCGGGTACATTTCATTTCATTTAATGCCTCTGTTCACTTAACATTAAATAGGAGCCCAGGAGTTTGGCAACTCTTGTGAGGTTGCATCCTGGAAAGGACCAGTAGGTCGACCTTGGGGATGGGGGGGACCTCAATATAGGTTCTAACCCTAATCAAGTCACAAACAAATCACATTAATGTGATATGTCAATGAGAAAGTCGATTGGAGTTATGTAGAGGATTCGAACCTACACCATGGGTACTCCCATACATACACCTTAAACCACTGAGTCATGATATACTAATAAGTAATGTATCCTTGGATTCAACTGAATCCATAAGGGGTCTTGAGGTATTGAGGAAATACCAAATCAAGTTTTTACACAGTACGTACCCACATACACTCTTCTCAGAATACAACCTTACAAAAGTTTATTAACTTCTCAGTATCAATTTACTGCTAGGTGAACAGAGGCTTTAGGTGATAGGAAACATGCCCAACTGTTTCTGTCCAGCTTGGGGGTTTGAACCTGGGATTCTCAAATGTGAGTAAAGAATGAATCTTTACTACTGTACTACTAAAAAGGAGTGCAGTTATGAGCATAATCGTGTAAACCAAGATCAGCATTGATTCTTTTGCTCACATTTCATGTGAGGCAGCCTTACATAGGTGTATGTTTATATATAATGCCTCATCAAACTCTTTGGAAACACATTTAATCAGAATATACAGCAGATTACCTTTAAATATATCCCCATATATTCATCTGCACCAAGTTTCATAATATTGTACGTACAATGTATAACCATAATTAATACTGTATGAAATATTAGTTTGCAACAATGGCAAACATTAACGTATTGTTATATAGAACATTCCTCTTGTGTGATCACTACAGCATAGAGTATATTCAAGTAAAGCATCACATTCTTCCCTTCATCCTCAGCTGTCTTGTACATATTCGCCAGAACATAATATACTGTATTAATGAAGCTTAAATTTTTTTCCTTTTACTATAGCCTTCATTGTATATATTGACTACAGCAGAGTACAATACCGGATAGTCAAGAGAAGCATCACATTCTTCTTTTCCAGTATTGTATAAGTTCACCAATGATTAGAGTACTGTATATTCAAAAAAGCATCACTGCAGTACTGTACAGTATATCCAACCCTTTGACTGTGACACTTTCATTTCAACTCCATAGTTTGTTATGGTTTATAGATCATATAGACCATATGGGCTAATTTTTGTTGTATTATGCCATTCAACCACAGCCACGTATAACAGCCAAAGGGTTAAGTACCGAATCACATACTTTCCTTCATCTGCAGCCTGTATGTAGCCTACCCTATCCTTTCTACATGTGTTCACCATAGCATGGAGTACATATATTCAAGTGAAGAGGTCATATTCTTTCCATGCACTGCAGCCATCATTGTATGTGTTCACCTCACTATAATAGTCTGTTCTAGTGAAGCATCACATTACATATTTTCTTTCACTGCAGCCATCACTGTACGTGTTACACGAGCTGCAGGTTCCTTTCATTAAGGTTGGTTCAGGAGACATCCATAACCTGCCACTACTTCGCACTGCTGCAGCTTGCAGCAAACCTCTAGTCGTCTCAACAGGTTAGTACCACTTTTTCATTTGATTTTTTTTAGTTGAAAAGTTCAGTAATAGGCATCATCCATCAAACTTTATTTGAAAAAGATACATGAAATGAAATGAAATGATACATGAAATTAAAAATGATTTAAATGCACCACTAAATAATTAAAAAAGGCAATATTTAGGGTAAGTACATTTTATGCAAAGTCACTTGTGCACATAGTTTTTGGGTAAATATTAGAGATAACAAAATTACTGTACTGTACTGTATTGTGTTTAGAAATAGAGTTCTGTATTTGCAATAATTAAGGCATTTATACAACTACAGTAATTCTTTGGTTAATAATTTTAATGTGAACATGATTAACGTTGTCCTGGTGGGGAAAAAGAAGTTAGTTGCTGTAGCAGTATCAAATGAGTCTTCACAAAAAGGTCTATGGCTTTTTATCTCTATTTTTATTGTATAATTTGCTACTGTCAAATATAGTTACTATCTCAATAAAGGAATTGTTTAACTGTACCAGTATTTAAATAATGCTTGTCTTACTTGTTAAAGCATTGTGTATTGCCTTGCGACAGGTATGTCGGATATAGCATGGGTGTCTCAGGTTTATGAAGAGCTCACTATGATGCAAGACCCACCAACACCCCTGGTCTTTCTTCAGTGCACATCTGCATATCCCACGCCCCCAGAACAAACCCATCTGAGAGTATTAGATACATATGCTCAGATGTTTCCTCATGCACACATTGGGTACTCTGGACACGAGTTGGGAATTCATGTTACGATTGCAGCTGTGGCTCGTGGGGCCAGGGTAAGTCACTCCATTGAAAATACAGTACTGTACTTGTAATCCTCGATTTGAGGATTTATAACAGTATTTTAACAGCGTTTTAAATCTTTACGTATTACCAATATTGTATTATTTTCTAGTAGGAAAGTTTATTAAGCATTGTCTGGTAGGAGTAATTTATGGTATTATTTCATTTCTTCTATTTTCTTTGATTTTGTGGTTATAAATAGGAGCTGCCTCGTATGGGCCAATAGGCCTTCTGCAGTTACCTTCGTTCTTATGTTCTTATGTTCTTATGTTCTAACAGCTTTCCTTTCAATAACTCGAGAATGCCTCATCATATTCAGGCGATGAGTCACAGTAACGTGGCTGAAGTATGTTGATCATACCACATACTAGAAAGTGAAGGGACGACGACGTTTCGGTCCGTCCTGGACATTCTTAAGTTGATTGTGAGAAATGGACTCGACTTGAGAATGGTCCAGGATGGACCGAAACGTCGTCGTCCCTTCACTTTCTAGTGTGTGATCTGGTCAACACCTCATCATATTCACTTAAATTACAGTACTGTCCAGTACTTTATATTAAGAAAAAATTTAAATTAAATTTAAATGTTGTAACCCTATATACAGTAAAGTTTTGCGTTTCTTTGTGATAGTATGAGCATACACAATTGTACTTACTTAAAATATGCAATATTTATGTATGATCATAAGGTTCCTTTCATTAATGGACAGGACAGCCCACTGGCAGCTAGTGTTTTTGCTTTATTGTTTGTTTCATTCTCAGAGATATTATTATTTTATACTGTCAAGGACAAAGCAAGAGAGTTTGATCAGCAGTGAGACTTCCCATCCTCACCCACACCACCAGCCCATAAACACCTGCCACACCACCTGACAGTTCCTTGCCATCCCCTTCTTTCACCAACCCTACCTAACAGACCACCTTCCACCACTTTGCTCTCCACTATCATCCTCTCTCTCACGTGGGATTCAACTGAATCCACAAGAGGTCTTGAGGTATCGAGCAGATACCAAATCAAGTTTTTACACAGTACCCACATACACTCTTCTCAGAATGCAACCTCACAACAGTTGACTAACTCCTCGGTATCCTCAGTAACTCCTCAGTAAGGCAAATTACCTTGCCTTACCCACCTAGTTGTAATTCCCCCATTGTCCACCACTATCCTTCAGCCCCACCAACTTACCCCACATGTTCATAGGCCTCCCACCACCCATCCTCAGTGCCATCCCTCTTTAGTTACTCTACTAAATTATAAGTTATATATTTAATTATTATATATTCAAGCAATATCATTTCACAGTTTAAAAAAAAAGTAAATTTTAGTACAATTTCAGAGTATTTTACTTGATTATCAATTATTGTTTGACACCAAATTTCTCAAAAGAATACTACTTGTTCTAAATTTATTGCTTGAACTTTTAATACCTAAACATTATTTTACTGCCATTTTTACAGGTGGTGGAGCGTCACATGACCCTTAATCGGAATTGGAAAGGAAGTGATCATTCCTGCTCACTGGAACCACATGATTTAAGAGAACTAGTTAAGGCAATCAGATGTGTGGAAGCTGCACTTGGCAGCCCCCTTAAAGCTTTTCAACCCTGTGAGGAGCCATGCTTCACAAAGGTTAGTGCTTTTATACTGTACCTGGTATACAATTCTTAGAAGTTATGGTATGTACTTCAATTTATTTAAGGAAATACTTGCTTTGTTTGTATTTAATTAGAAGAAACACTTACTTTTAAATGGTTTTTAAAAGAGGCACTTCTAGCCGTACCCCCCCTCACATGGTGCCTTGACATTGTCAGGGGGGTTAGAATGATTCGATGATCCAAAGGGCAGATGAGGATGGTAAAAAAAGCTCCTCTTCTGACCTAAGGTGAGGAGACAAAAAACTAAGTTAAGTGGAAGACCCACCCACGTGTCTATGAAGCATGGAGGCCCATAATTCTCCATTTCCCTTTATCTGGAAATTGAGTGTGCCCAAGATGCTACAGTGTTAAAAATAATATTGTTGCACTATAGCAATAAAGACATTTTTAACTAGATGACGCTATATCTACACATAACCTTTCAGCTTAACATTAATTAAAAGATGAGTTTTCCACTAATTCACCAAATTGCTGGCAAAGCACAGAGGATGATAAGACTAGGCAACCTATTTATCTGGGGTCAGATTCATGATATAGTTATGCAAGCACTTACGAATCTGTACTGTACATCTTTTCTCAATCTTTGGCGGCTTTGTTTACAATTTTTAAACAGTTAATGAGCACCAGAAGGTTGTTTATAACAATAACAACAATCGTTTGGGAGGTTTTCATGCTTATAAACTGTTTAATAAATGTAACCATACATTTAATAAATGTAAAAGGGTTTTTGCTTTATTATTTGTTTCATTCTCAGAGATAATATTTTATACTGTCAAGGATGAAGCCAGAGAGTTTGATCACCAGTGAGATGTCCCATCTTTACCCACACCACCAGCCCATTAACATCTGACAGCTGAGTGGACAGCGCTTTGGACTCGTAGTCCTGAGGTTCTGGGTTCAATTCCCGGTGGAGGCAGAAACAAATGGGCAGAATTTCTTTCACCCTCATACCCCTGTTACCTAGCAGTAAATATATACCCGGGAGTTAGACAGCTGCTATGGGCTGCTTCCTGGGACTTTAAATTCGCTATAAGATAAGAGAACTATAAGAACTATAAGATAAAATTGAATATAGTTCAGGGCAAGGCTTCAGATTCCATAATGGTGAAGTTTAAATAGGAGGTAGTTATGGTTAACAGTATCAAAGGCCTTTCTCAGGTCAATGAAGAGTCCAATTGGGAACTTTTTTTTTGTCAAGGAATGTGTAAATGATAGTGTTACCCAATCTCCTAATTTTTATGTAATATCAAACAACCTTATCATTGTGTTCATTGCTGTCTTCTTTTATGTGCTAGCCATATGCTGTATTGTGACTACCAATTTTTGTCAACTACCATTCAAGCTGTCATTGCAACCAATCTTATATTGTTTCTGCTGTATTGTGCCTACCAATTTTTTTGTCAACTACCATTCAAGCTGTCATTGCAATCAATCTTAGCTACCTATGTGCTTTAATATACTGTACCTACAATTTTCTCTCATCTTTTTTTCATTTCATGTAATCTGTTATCATTTTTTGTTTATAATTTTGCAAGTATTTACCTCCTTAAAATTTTCTTAGATTAAGGACCTGCCCGAAACGCTGCGCGTGCTAGTGGCTTTACAAGACTGTAATTACCATATTTGTATCCTCACATTCCTTATGTACATTCTTGTATATGCATAAATAAATAAAATAAATAAATATCAAGCAGACTAATAATTGCATCGTTGGAACTCTTAGGAGCGGAAGCCAAACTAACAGGGTCTTAGTATGTCAAATTTTATGAGGTAGGAGTAGAGCTGTTTATAAAGGATTTTTTCAAATATTGTTTATCATATAGGTAGATTTGATATTGGTCTAATTGTTTATGTCTGCGACCTTCAGACATAACGATCTTCTTGTATACTGTATATATAAATAAATAGTTTATTTTAATAAATACTATGTACACATATTGTACATCAAAGGGTACAAAATAATATACAGTTCTGTATTAACTTTCAACATATTATTATCTCTTCCTAGCTTGGCAAGACACTAGTAGCTGCACGTAAAATTCGAGCAGGACAGATGTTGGAAGAAGGAGACTTAGTGGCAAAAGTGGCAGAACCACGAGGCATTCCATCTCAACGACTAGATTCTCTAATTGGTGGATATCTCAACAGAGATGTAGAAGAGGATGAAAGCATTATGGAAGCAGATGTCTTGTGAGAATATTTATGCAAGTCATTACCAAATTTTGTTTGTGAATGAAACCGATATAGCATTGTATACATGTTATGAGTGTGTACAGGTGTGATGTGATTCATAAATTCACTCAAGATATTAATCTTGATATAACTTAGAATGTTCTGCAAGTATGTTAATGCATATTTCATTCATGGACACTTTGCATTCTTCTTATATGGCATGAGTAAAAGATATGTTGTTTCTACTTCATTATGCAGTGACTCCATGTTATGAGTGTCATATCTGTGAAGATTTCCTGAAGCATAAAAGTGATATATTAGTATGGATGTGGTGTAAATGTTAAAAAAAACTATACAAGTGGAATTTATGGGAGTAGCAGCAATGTATTGCTTTGATAAGGTGTTTAAGATAGAAGAAGAGACACCAAATTAGCACAACATTAATTGATGTGTTCCTGTATGTATTGCATGATGCAATAACAGACAGGTTGCAAGAGATAGTAACAGGGGCAAATATGATGCAATTTGAAGTGATGAAGATAAACATGTTGAATGGGGCAGTAACGGAAACAAATGTTATTTTTTTACCCCTGCTTCGTGTTGCATGTTAGAATATTTGTTAACTTTGGTTTTAATACTAATTGCACGTTAGCTTGTAGACTTGAATGTGCACCAATCAATTAGGATACTTTGTGATCATTATTACACTTTCATATGTTATTAATGTATGATATATGTACCTTGAAGGTATATGTACCATTTAGGAGTGTTGGGTGTCGGTGATTTTTAGAATTGATCAATGTGTTGGCATGCATCTTTGTTAATTTGTATTATTCAGAATATAAATACATTAGTTTTATTTCTCTAATCTGATATTCTTATTTCCAAAATATGCCAACATTTTAAAATAATTCCAACCCTGCTCCTTTCTATCAAGTACTTTTAAACACAAAATTTCATTACTGTTATTTGTTCCAATTCATAGTGGTAACTTGACTCAAGGTTTGTGTTTGACCTCTTTATTTAGTATAGATGATGAAGCAAGTGTGAGAAGAATTTTAATACCACAGTAGTTTTAAGATGGCAGGATCTGCAGTCAATCTTTCCTGAGGAAACTTGTGGGGCTGGAACCAGCATTGGTGTGCCTAGTATGCCTACAAAGATTTTAAAGTGTTGGTGAAATGTGGAACTTTCTTACAGAAAGCTTTAGTGTTGAAACCTTTAAACACTGCTGCAAACATGCAATGCAACATTGGGTATAATGTTCTGGATCTCTTCCCAATTTTTTTCCCTGGTTTTACTTTTTTGTTTAGTCTAAATTATATTGAACATACTGTTTTATATTTAAACGTACAAATGCACTATATACACATGCATTATAAATTAGAAAGCTATTACAAAAATAATAAAACTACATAACTTTGAGCTTAACTTCTTAAAGACCACAATTATTATTGTAACATCTAACTCATTGAAATTTGACCTTTTGAACTTTTTTTTTTTTTTTGCCACCAGAACTCTTTCTTCACTTCTCAGTAATAATAACTTTTCTGCATCTATTTATAATTTTTCTATATATTACCACTTAGCATTCTGATGGTCCCGCACATTTCTCTGTTCAAACTCACCCACCCATGTGAGCTGCTTATTGTGGCACTTGAAAGGTGTACTGTATAATCATTTAGCATTTGCATAGCTATGTATTTGGTTAGCAATTTGATTTTGCTGTTACTGTTTGCAAATACAGTATCCACTCAATTTAATTACCTATATGGAGCTATACTCTTCTTAAATCAGATATCAATTCTCATTGATACATCATAATGTGATTTCATTGTGCATTTGACGAGAAGCATTAGAGGTGAACTACTTGAGCAGAAGCCATAGTGCACGGGAGCAATGTGTGAAATTCCTGGTTTGGGTTTTGGTGTGGAGCCTCAGGACTCCTAGTGGATTTAGCTAAATCCCAGGTTGCATTGCTTTTGACCGTGTCGTGGTGTAGAGGTCTAGGGCGCTAGCATGGGAGTACCAAGTGAGTGGGTTCGAATCCTCCTCAAGCTTCTACTGATTTCCTCAAATGCTGCAAATGCTCAAGTAACATGTCCATAAAAGATAAAGCTGAAACCAGATTATTTCAATGCAAAAGTTCAATGAGGGATGTGGTTTTATGATCTTAAAAAATGACAGCATGTTCAACACAATGTAATTTAAATAGATACACAGTAGTACAGTATTAGTTTTTTATAACTAAGAATAATACTTAGGTAACCTGTTACTGCAAGAAGTAATTCACATCTTGCTCTTTGTATCCTCAGCAAAGACAAGGTATTATGCACTTATTAATACAAATTTGGCACTTGTTAATTTTCCCCAACCTGTCCTCTCAAATAATACATCATACAGTATTTTCATGCCAAAATTCCCAATGGACAAAAGATGGTGTACTATGAATAATACAAACAACCACATTTTCTATGTGTGGGTTGATAGGGGTAGGTTAGGATCGTTCATCTTAGTACTCTATTTCTGGTCTGTTGTGGCAACTCCGAGAGGACGGGCTGATTTTATCTACACTAGCTACTGCTTCTCAAAATGTGAAATCATCACCACAGTTGACTCAAGATAACATCATAATGTAGAGTCATCACTATTCAAGTATGATACTGTACATCACTATGTGGAGACATCACCACCCTCTAAGATGACAAATCAAAGTATGAAATACTGTACCACATTTCAGCTTGACACACACAGGCATTTTGAGCCATCAGTACATTCCAGGTTTTCACATCACAATGAGGCATCACCACACTTCCAAACAGTAAATTGCTAAGTTCAGCAATCGCCACCCAAGACTAACACATCATAATTTACAGTCATCATTATATTGTTTAAACTGGCACATTTGTGACATGATAATCATAATTCAGGCTGAATCATCACACGAAGGAATATTCTTCACTACACTTCAGGTTCCAACCATTACACAGTGGAGTCTTCATCACACTGTAGAATAATATATTACAGTGTGGTCTTCACCATTCTGGTTTGAAATATTACACAGTGGAGACTGCAATGCTCCAAGATAAAATACTGTACTATATAATGAAGACTTTACTATGTTCCGAGTTGAACATTACAGGGTGGAGACTTTGCCACAGTTCAACACAGTGGAGATAATAAGTCTCCACATTAACACAGTGGAGATTATGCCATACTCCAGGAAGAAACAGTATGTTGTGGAGAAGAAGTATCACACATTAAACAATCATGCTGGGAGACTATTATAATACTGTACTCTAAACCTAGAAATTTGACTATTATCACTAAATTATCACCACTCTCTAATAAACATATATAGAGTGTAAATGTATGTACAGTATGTATAAGTATGTATGTATGTATGTATGTGTATGTATATATATATATATATATATATATATATATATATATATATATATATATATATATATATATATATATATATATATATATATATATATATATATATATATATATATATATATGTCGTACCTAGTAGCCAGAACGCACTTCTCAGCCTACTATGCAAGGCCTGATTTGCCTAATAAGCCAAGTTTTCAAGAATTAATTATTTTTCGACTACCTAACCTACCTAACCTAACCTAACCTAACTTTTTCGGCTACCTAACCCAGCCTAACCTATAGAGATAGGTTAGGTTAGGTTAGGTGGGGTTGGTTAGGTTCGGTCATATATCTACGTTAATTTTAACTCCAATAAAATAAAATTGACCTCATACATAAGGAAATGGGTAGCTTTATCATTTCATAAGAAAAAAAATAGAGAAAATATATTAATTCAGGAAAACTTGACTTATTAGGCAAATCGGGCCTTGCATAGTAGGCTGAGAAGTGCGTTCTGGCTACTAGGTACGACATATATATATATATATATATATATATATATATATATATATATATATATATATATATATATATATATATATATATATATATATATATATATATATATATATATATATATATATATATATATATATATATATATATATATATATATATATATAAATGTCGTACCTAGTAGCCAGAACGCACTTCTCAGCCTACTATGCAAGGCCCGATTTGCCTAATAAGCCAAGTTTTCCGGAATTATTATATTTTCTCTAATTTTTTTCTTATGAAATCATAAAGCTACCCATTTCATTATGTATGAGGTCAATTTTTTTTTATTGGAGTTAAAATTAACGTAGATATATGACCGAACCAAACCAACCCTACCTAACCTAACCTAACCTATCTTTATAGGTTAGGTTAGGTTAGGTAGCCGAAAAAGTTAGGTTAGGTTAGGTTAGGTAGGTTAGGTAGTCGTAAAAACATTAATTCATGAAAAATTGGCTTATTAGGCAAATCGGGCCTTGCATAGTAGGCTGAGAAGTGCATTCTGGCTACTAGGTACGACATAAATATATATATATATATATATATATATATATATATATATATATATATATATATATATATATATATATATATATATATATATATATATATATATAAAAAATTGTTCGCATTTGTGTTCCTCACGTGTGCCCCAAAGAATGAGGTGATTTGGTAAAATGCTATGCCCAAGATTACTATCCGAGTGCCGGCGGTGGGGTGGTTCAAATAGCTTAGGCTATCACCTCATTATGTCCGGTCGTGATGGTCAAGTGGATTAAGGCGTCTTGTACATACCAGTTGCGTTGCTTCTGGGAGTATGGGTTCGAGTCACTTCTGGGGTGTGAGTTTTCAGTTGCATATTGTCCTGGGGACCATTCAGGCTTGTTCGCATATATATATATATATATATATATATATATATATATATATATATATATATATATATATATACACACACACACACACACACACACACACACACACACACACACACACACACACACACACACACATACAGTATACACATGCATGATGTAAAAACTCATTCATTGATTCATCAGTAAATGTACATTCAAGGAATCCACATGCATCATAACATTATCAAGAAACTCTAGATCCAATTTTTCTCACACTGAATTATCACTAACATTTTAGTAATATAATGTTGTTTGCTGATAATTTATAATACATATTTTGTGTATTATATTGACAAAATAATACAATTTCAGTTCCCACATGTTGATTAGTTATGCTCAAGATTATCATGCAGACTTATTAAGCTTCCTGCAGCCTAGATCTATAGATGTTTACAATTAAGTAGATCATATGCATTTACTTGTTTCTTAATCTTCTTGTTCACTTGTGCATTAATGAAATGAATATGTAACACGGTGTAGATTTTATGTATCCAATTATGTTCAGTAGCAAGGTTGTAGCTGATATCTGTAATACTGTAATATGAACTACTGTTCAGTATATATATATTATAGTGTCAACTATTTATGACTTTTTTTTTAAATTCAGTGTCCTTTTTGTAGTATCTTGGTGTTTTAGCATTTAAAAACAAACTACAGCGGTGCTTTCCTGCAAAGTTATGAGGGTAAGATTTTAAATTTATTCTGCACAGAAGATTCTTAAAAAGATCATTTAAATAATAGGCTAACCAGAAGATGATGCAAGAAAGACGCAAAAACCTGTTGCAGTGCCATGTTCTTATCTTGTTAATGATTCAGAAATTGCTTCTGAATTTCTAAACATTGTTGTTGATAAAGCTGTTTATAAGATCTTTTATAATGTGCAAGAGGAATATATGTGGAGCTTATGCAAAGTTGTTGCACACTTTTGAGAGACGTGACGCTACATCAGAGAACACAACTTATTAAGTACAGTACACTAGTTTTGTAATAATTCTTATATAGATTAATATATTTCATTCATCCCCTTTTGCAGTCAGAGAAATTAAAAAAAATATAAAAAAAAAACAGTTTGAAGAAGACTTAGATTCTTTGCAGTATTGCTTGAACTTGGCACCAATCTTATAAACGATGGTCTCTCAGGGTTTGTTTTTTGTATTGTTTTTCTTATATTAATGTTCACCTTTTTAAGTGACTAGATTGTAAATAAATCTACACATCTCCTGAGATTATTATTTACCAATATTATGACTGAATACTTAAATACACAGAGAACAGTACTCTGATGGATATAATTCATTGAAAGGTGTCAAATTATTACAGTATTACTGTTTTAACAATGAAATCATATACATGATCATACCATGTTCTTTTTCAATACCCAATATTGAAATTTCTGTAACTAGGGCATGAAGATGACTTTTAATGAAATATAACATAGAATAGTTCAACAACTATTTGCCCCATTCCCAGGTTGCTCATAGCCTATTATAACATTTACACCTAACCTCACCTTCCTTTTAACATAACCTAACTACCTCACCCAGAAAAGCATGGCTAGTTAGAAGTGAGGTGAGTACTCATGATACTGTACCTTGCATGTATGGAGAGCAGATCATATCAAAGTAAACCCAGTGTTGTCTCAGCAATAATTTGAGAATCATCTGAATATTAAACCATTAATCTAAGGATTATGGCTGGTTATGTGTTTTTTTTATGACACAGACATATAGAGAACTGCATTATTTGGAAAAGTATACAATGGGGCTGTGTTACCAGCAGTACAATAACAAAAAGAAGAAATTTAATTTATACAGGTCACTCTTAGTACCAAATGCAAACCAACAAACAATGATCATTCTAACTTTTGCCAGAAGTACTTTACATAATACTGTAATAGCTTCATTTAAAGTGCAACCTCTATATCTTCAACTATACCTATGTCTTATGCATATTTTTATGAATAGAGTATTATTATTATTTTATTACAATACTGTACATACCATAATTGACTAAATGGGGTTTATTTAACTTTCTGAAGGTTTTCATCAAATGAAATGTTTAGGGTGATTATTTTCACTACATATTGTTGTAAATATACATTCTACTACTGTAATTAGAATCAACTATTAAATGTGACAACTGGGCAGAAAAGTGTGATATATTGGTGGTAGGCAGCAATATCAGGGATATGTCACTCCACAATATGAGTGCTTAGAACATTGCCTTCCTTGGGTATCACCTGCCAAAATAGTTTTTCTTAGCAAAATATCCAACTACTTGGGCTGGACGGTAGAGCGACGGTCTCGCTTCATGCAGGTCGGCATTCAATCCCCGACCGTCCAAGTGTTTGAGCAATATTCCTTCCCATCCCAAATCCTTATCTTGACCCCTTTCAAGTGCTATATACAGTAGTACTAATGGCTTGGCACTTTCCCCTAAAAATTCCCTTCCCTTTCCTAACAAAATAGTTTTTGCATATTCAGCACCAACATTATACTCAGAAATGTATTAGAATCTGTGTTTATGGGTCCTGTAACACAGTGGTCTATGTTCACAGCTTATACCTGTGGTTCAATCGCTGGGCAAGACAGAAATGGTTAGACATGTTTTTTTCAGTTCATCTAACAGTTAAATAGGTATTTAGTAATTAAGGAATTCTTCTGGGGTTGCATCCTGCATAGGGAGGGTCGGTAGTTACCCTAGGAAGACCTCGATAAGCCTCAGTACATATACAGGCTTTCTGTCTCTGACAACAAGAATTATATTTATATTTACAGTAAGTAATTCTAAGAGGAGTTGAGTAGTTTTAGCATGTAGCTTCTGACATCTTTTTGTTAATTAATTTTATATATTTTTGTGATTTTTTCTAATACATGTTGTTATGCACATGTATAACTTTTATATAACAAATACACGGTAATCAGTTTGCCAAAAACCAACCACAGTATAGCTGCTTTGAGTGTTCAATCAAGTGTGTGTGGACATTATTACAATATGTTGTGTTTTCACTGATGTGTGTAATTTTTAGCTAACCCAAATTATGTATGCCATAATCCTGCACTTCAATCAACATCAATATACAGTATGTGCTATGGAGAAGATTTTAACTGTTTACCGTATTATCTTATGGTGTTTAACATACAAACTGTGCAAAATGGTAGAAATATCTAGGTGTGGTCTGCCCTGTGTATGATGTATCCTATATCTTACCACTGTTTTGTAGCAATGTGTCTGGATGAAGTAGAGACAAATTCAAGGTGATGATTAATGAAACTTCTTAAACAATGTAATGATTTTAATTATATTTTGTATGGATAATCTTTCATATAAGTTTTATTAAAATGGTTAAGTAATTATCCTTTCAGCACTTTTCAGAGCAATACGACACAAAAATATATAGTACAGATATCATATTTCCAACCTACAAGTGGTTATGGTGCTGGCAGGTCTAGTTGTGGAAGCGACATTCCTAACCCAACCTTAACTAAAGCAGTCTGTTAAAGACTTGAACACATAAAGGGGAACTGCAGCTTTACTTGCTAAATTATCCAACATTATGATACAGACAAGGCAACTAAAGCTGAAACTGAAGTAGACATAGGTATTTTAATCGCTATTGTTTAAGCCACAATATTTCAAGAAACTAAGGTGAACTGAAGAGCTATCACTGGCACTCAGGACAAAAAACAATATTATAAAGAATTATGATATACACTATTTAGAACTGAGCAGTAAATGTACGAGTACCATAAAACATCCACCAGAGAGCGTAACATTATTAATTGCCAGAATTGGGCTGTGATATTGCTACTTATGGTAATTACTGCAGGTGATGGTCTTGCAACAGTGAACACTCCAATTGTAAACTCTGTGAAGAAGAGCTAGGACACTCTTTAACACTATTGGTGAATGCCCTGTTATCAAATATTTTAAACCATATGGCACTTTGAGCTTCGTAATTACACTATTTCATACACTCACCAATATTGGAAGATATTCTCATACTCTACTCAAACTTTGAAGGTGCAGGCTGGTAGGCTAGACACATCTAATGAATATCTCTGATTCCATATATGACTAGTCATACTACGAGATAGGGATATTAAATAAATTTATAGCCAGTTCTTGATCTATAATACGCTGTAATCCCTCATATAGAACAGTATAGCAGCACAATGCTGTGTACCAAATTATGTTAAAAAAAAAAGATACTGCCTAAATAACAGCGGAATTATCAGAGAGCATTGGCTGCTTCACACACAGCACTCATATGTTTGCTACAATGTTTGGGAAGGTTTCATCTTATTATATTACTGTACTGTACTTCTGAATAGGCTTTACAGTACTGCACACATAAAGTGACAAAAGTAATTAGCATTCAAAGGCTTAATGGTGTATACATTCAGGACGGCAGTGGACAACAAGGATGAAATCACAATAAAGTGAAACATTTTAATATAAACAAGATGGCAAAAATATCACAGTCCTATCATTTAGTACACCTGCACATTCTCTATATAAAAGCATATCACATAGCTATGAATACAAAATTACACATCCTATTGTTTGTAACTTACAGCAATATCTAACTCGTTTTATCTCTGTAGTTTAAATTGTATATAATGACAACCAGTATGTGATAAACCTAATGGCCAGAACCATACTATTGGCTTAGTAAGCAGAGCCCAATTTGCTTAACATGCAGAGCCATTTTTATTATTTTTAAATATTTCTTTATGAATTGGTTTATTTCTAACAATATTGAGATATATTAAGAACACAAATAACTGATTAGGATTGACTCAGTTTGGTAAAATTTTCATGTTAACAAAAAAAATCATAAATATTGTTATACTGTATATTTTAAAACTCAAATAACAAAATCCCAATCATTTGTAATACAAAGAAAAGTTATATCGTTCCATATGAGTAAATGTTTTAAAACTTAAGTATTTCAGGAAAATTCAGCGTTTTAGGCAACTCTAGCTATTAGGTACGACATAACTGTTTATATTTTTATGTCTATAAGATTATGTTTGTTTATCTGTATGAAGTTGGAGGCCAGACGCTTGGAGGTTAGCCTAACCCAACTTTGCATGGTGAATGGTCTGGGGTACTGGACGGACATAGGCTAGTCAGAGTCGGTTCTATTGGTCCTATTAAGAGGAGGTTGAGCATAATTATGACCCCTCCCCCACATAATATGTGAAAGGTGGCTGGACGAGTCCCTAGATTTCTTAGTTTTTACATAAATGAAAATAGTCTGCCAGTGCAGACCGCTTATCACATGCCTCTGTATGACTAACCATCCTGTGTGATGGGGATTTTTTAGCATCACCTAGTTAGCTTTTTTGACACACTGTACTCCACTTCATATAGTTTAGGGTAGCTGCACTAATGCAGATGTACCTAATGTGTTAATAATAAAAAAAAAAATACATACTGCAGTATATGTGTATGTTCACATATACTTAGAGGCCAGATGGGAAAGGGGAGGGAAGCTAATAGGCCAAGTTGCCTAACAAGCCAAATTTTCCTGATATATTTTTCAATGTTTTTCCTTATGAAATGATAAGAGCTTTCCATAACATTATATATGATTTTATTTTTTTTTACTTTGTCAAAACTTAAACAATTTTTATCAAACCTAACCAAACCTAAAGAATTCATGCTCTAGATATAATACATTTTTATTGCTAAGAAACAACCAATTTGGAACAAAATATTTGAAAATAACGAAAATCGTTCTGCCTGTTTGGTAAATCGGGCCTTGCTTACTAGGCCAAGTAGGCAGTTCTGTCTATTATGTACAACATATGTATTCAGATGTAAAATTCTGTTGATTACCTTGTATGAGACAACGTTAAAGTGCCTTGATACAATTGCTCTTGGCCGTATACATCAACTGCTTGCTGTCCAAATTTTTCGTTTTATTTTTCTGATTTTTATTTGTGTATTTCAAAACTGAAATAACCGACAGTATGATATGGGTTCCGGTTTATTTTGTGTAAACAATAACATCTATTCTCCTCAATTCTTAAGATTTTTTAATTTAATAAAGATGGTGTTACAAAGTGCTGAGCTGTCATATGTTCATGGCTGGCTTTAGTCAATAGGCCTTCCGCTGGTTAATTTATTATTAGTTCTTACTTTTCCAAATTAGTCGTCACTGGGAAGCTATCGTGAGAATTATATCCCTCAATGGTCAATGACAAACAGCTGAGAATCTTGCATGGTTTTCGGTCTTGTGATAAAAGTTGATAGCTGTGTTGCTCGAGCCATAACCTAAATCAGACTGATCATTTTGTCTGGTTTGAGTCATCCCCCGGCAGTATATTATGACAAGCTGACACTCAACCTTACATTAAACCCAAACCAGTAAGTGTTCTCTTCACATGTTTGTGAATGTGGTCCAATAAAGACATCTATGTACTTTTGTTGACATCACAGTTACGTGTCCTCCTTCCCCTCAGCACATAAAATCAAATTCAAATGTTTATTCAGGTAAAAATACATATAGAACTGCAGCTTTACTCATATACTTCTATTACCCTTGCTTAATAAGATGCCTTTCTTATGGTTAATGGCTGCAGATGTACTCGACTTCCTCTCCTAATGCCGTCACTGACAGCCGTGGGCGGTGGGGTGGGCGGCAGGTCACCTATGGAGACCTCAGGTGCCCTAGCTGGACGGAAAGGCAGCTTCGGGGGCGGCAGGGCAGGACGAGACGCCTCAGGCAGCTGCCGGAGCCGCCCGTGGCGCTGACCCACCGGCCCCTCACTCCTGCAGCTATAGGAGTTATTTATGGTTTTGGCGGTGTCGACAGCGGAATACGTAGCGAGGGAGCCGCCCACTATTTGAGGGCGGGCAATGGCGGCTGAGTGTTTGGCCTCGGTGGGTGTGTTGGCTCTGGCCGGTGTGACGAGCGGCGGGGACAAGCTCTCCACGGAGGACATACGGGACATATGCTGCAAGTAAGTTATACTCTCTTAGACTCACACTACTTAAACCTTAGAGACACCAACATTGTTTATATTCAAACAGCTCAAAATACTTATTATGCAGATGGGAGGTGAATTTCAGTGATGAGTGCTGATACTTTGATATAACAAAAGATTTAACTTAATATAACAAAAGTCAGAGTTGATTTTTTTTTGTATTGAGGCTGGTATTTTCCCCCCTGATTATTAGATGAACTAGTTTTTTATTTAGTTTTTGATTTACATTGAAATCTTTCATATAGAATAGGGTAGCACCACACTGCTGTGTATACCTAAGCTTGTATAATCAATAACTATAGATTCCGCGATATATCTTATCAATCCAAAAAGGTTTTCTTATTCTGAAATTAAGGCTACTAGCCCACAGCATGTAGTTGAATAAACAAGCATTATTTTGTTGTGTTTAACCACAGTTCGTGCCACTGGCTGGTTGGTCAACACATGAACGGGAGCATCCGGGGATTGGCTCCTTGCTGATCGATGATGATGAAACTGAGTCACTGGCCTCTGTGCCCTTCAAGCACGCACGTGTACACATAAACACACACGCACAAACACCTATTTACACCAGCTTCCAATAAATGTTTAATTCAGTTTTTAGTAATAATTTATTCAGTGCATGTAGGCTAAAAATATATTTGCAAAAGGAATAACGCTTGGAAGTTTCAGATTTAAGCGATGGTTGTTATACCAGGCGGCGGTTCAGGCATTGTCAACATATGCCCTCAAGAGGTTCAGCTTGAGGGGATTGATTGAGTGACCGATGAAGATTAAGCCACCCAAGAGATGGCACGGACATGAATAACCCGTAAAGCCTAAGGTCACTTCGGAGTTTCTATATACCCTGCCAAGCTTCAGCTAGCTTGGTGTGGACCAGATATGGACACGGCACTCAACTTTTGTCTTTTTTACATCAACACATCTATATACTTGGTTGATGTACATGCACCTGCCAGAGCCGATTTTAGGAGGCTGTTAATGTACGCCATGAAATAAATAATAATCTCTGTACCCTAGCAAGAACACTGCTCCAGCAGGTAAGATACAGGCAGGACTGAGACACATTCAAGTCCCCTAATTATTTTGTGTCACGCTTCACCAAAGTTCAGAAGGAACTACACGTCGGTAAATGTCATATTGCAACTATCTCCAATATGAACACTGATCAAGAGGGAGTTTTGAATTTTTTGAGCCGGCAATTAAGACCATTATCGATTTGTTTCAGCATTTTGTGACGATCCGTAAAAGAGTAAGCAATAACATTAGTCGTGGGGTGTCACTCGATCAGTCGGGCTAAGCACCGCTTAGTTTGGCTACTTCCTGGATGGGTTGAACCTAACGGGCTTACTGTCCCCGACAATAGTATACAAATATATGAGTAACAAAATTAAACCTTTTTAAATCTGCCCCATACATGCTTTGTTCCATACTATAGCCTCTGATCCAACAATATATATTATTGTCTTGTATTCTACCTGAATTTACCTGAGGGCCACTAACACTCTAGTGGTCTCGACGAGGACAGGAAGCCGGCGGATCGTCAAAAGTCTCCCGATTTGCCGTGATGATTTTTTTCCAGCTAGATTTTAAAATTTAACAGTTTTGGCATTTACGGCTTCGGCGGGTAGGTAGTTCCATGGGTTTATTAACCCTGTACAACCATTCTCTTCGGAATGTGATACTGACAGTAAAATTATTAACATGGGGAGGAAAGAGGAACAGCACCGACTGAATGTTAAAGGTATTTTAATAAAATAAATAAGTATCAGAAACTGTACGTATCTATAAGGAAGTGCCAGATTAAACAGTGAGTGCACAATGATAGTGTAATAGTAGAAGTCTATACTGGATCTGCGACTAAAGTTACCCATGGTAGTTACCTTATCTAAGTGACCTGCTCTCCTGCCATGACCACTCTGGGAGAGATCGGGAGCTGAGGTGGCCTTCTGCAGGTCTCTGGAGGGAGAGCCCGGAATACCCGGCAGGTCATCCATAGAGTTCAGACGGCGCAGGCGCGGTCGTAGAGCTCGGGCGCGCTCAGCTATGAACACTGACATGTCTGCAGGCAGTGAAAGGCCTTTGTTGTTGTCTTTCCTGTTTGTTTCATGCCATCATTTAAACTAATACCTAGGATTAGCAGTCGACTCATAACCGATTGGACCGGGGTTCGATTCCCGAGCAGGACAAGACGTTTCCTTACATTTGATGCAGCTGTTCAGGGGAACCCAATATTCCTAACGAACTTCCTGTGCCCAATAACGGGAAGCCTTCCTGCCTCAGTTTTTATCCTTTCTCAGCTATTATTCTACTAGCCTACGTCAGCTATTATCCTACCTCCGGTCGGCCGAGTGGAGGGAGCCGGTCGGCCGAGTGGACAGCACGCGGGACTTGTGATCCTGTGGTCCTGGGTTCGATCCCAGGCGCCGGCGAGAAACAATGGGCAGAGTTTCTTTCACCCTATGCCCCTGTTACCTAGCAGTAAATAGGTACCTGGGTGTTAGTCAGCTGTCACGGGCTGCTTCCTGGGGGTGGAGGCCTGGTCGAGGACCGGGCCGCGGGGACACTAAAGCCCCGAAATCATCTCAAGATAACCTCAAGATAACCTCAGTATTGTATCCAAAATAGGAAGTTATCCTACTATAGTCGCAACCTCAGCTGTTATACTTCATCGGATGATGCAATACTACCTGCTACCTCAACTGTTATCCTAGTAGCTTACCTCAGCTGTTATCTTAGTAGCCTACGTCAGCTGTTATCCTAGTAGCCTACGTCAGCTGTTATCCTAGTAGCCTACGTCAGTTGTTATCCTAGTAGCCTACGTCAGCTGTTATCCTAGTAGCCTACGTCAGCTGTTATCCTAGTAGCCTACGTCAGCTGTTATCCTAGTAGCCTACGTCAGTTGTTATCCTAGTAGCCTACATCAGCTGTTATCCTAGTAGCCTACCTCAGCTGTTATCCTAGTAGCCTACCTCAGCTGTTATCCTGCTAGCCTATCTCACCTGTTATTCTACCTCTCAGTCGTCATATTACCTTCTAATTCTCTCTCCCACTTTTGACAAGCCCCCGGCTTTCTGTTCCCGTCGAGGCCACTAGAGAGATAGAGGCCCACAAGTAAACAGATAGGCTCACACCCTCATGCAGTTCCCATGTCTGTAATCTCTTGCCTTGCTTAACCTGTTTAATGACCTAAACCTCTTCTTTAGCTCCATCATGTTCCGGAACACGATATAATGCGTGCAGTGGTTGCTAGCTTATAGGGAAATCACAAATTGTCAAACTCGGCAATACAGCATAATGCTACGTCAGTTTAAAATGTTTACATCTGATATTTATAGTGTACAGTATTTTGTCAGTGTTTCTGACAAGCTACGGAAGTACTCACCCAGGTCGAGGTTGTGGGTGTAGTTGACTGAGAGGTGAAGACCAGCTGGGGTGGGAAGCACAGCAGAGAATATCTTGGGTTCCTTGCTGGAGTCGCCTAGGCCGGAGGCAGGCGGGTCCTGGGGCGATAGAGGGGTGAGGCGGCGAGGGCGCGTTACCCCTGTTCCTCCTAGTTGGTGTGGCGCTGGCCTGGATATATGAGGCACACTCTAAGCAGCACAACTCTAGTTACAGCCCCGCTCCTGTGCCAGGTAAGTCCACTACGGGCTCACCATAGCCCGTGCTACTTGGAACGTTTTGTTCCCAGTAGCTGAATATTAAACAACAACAACAGCAGCACAACTCCTCCACTTACGGGCTTTTCATGCCCGTGCCACCTCTTAGGTGGCTTAATCTTCATCAATCATCAATCAGCCCAACACTGCTACCATCATTTGCAAGGGTTCCAATAACTTCCATAGGCCTAAATTAGTGTATGGTTGATGTCTTCAAAGGTTAAATCTAGAACTACAATTTTGTGTTTAACTATTGTTCGTATCTAGGAAGTAATTAATAATTATTTTATGGGCATAGATGTCTGTGTCTGAATCATATTTGTTAAACATTGTGTTAACCAGGTTAAATATGGTCAAAATCATACATAACTACTAGACATATTACTTGGTAATCTGCAGGGAATTATGAGTCGTATTTGAACTATAATGACAAGACACGTTAGCAATAACCTGTGAGCAAGAATTCTATGAAGCTGACCTGGTGTTGGCGAGGGTGTCGGGGCGGTGATGCCACTCCTGCCCGAACACCTTGTGACGACTCTCCAGATACAGCGCTGCAAGTGTCAGCAGATCCAGGTCCCCACCAGCGCCGCCACCTGCCATGCCACTGCCACCACTCGACTCCCCAGAGAGGTCCAAGTCCTCTTCCCATATTTGCAGACCATCGTCTCCATAGCTCCTTCTCCTATCGTTCCCATTGTCGTAGCTCTTCCGTCGACTCCTTCGTCGGGGCGAGCTTTCTTCGTTACTTTTTCGTCGATGTTTGGGTCTCGGAGATGTGTCTAAGGGATTGAAGACAGTAAGAGGCAACCGGGTGCCAGCACTAGCAGGGCCACAAGGAGGGGTTTTGCCCTCGTGGCTCCCATGACTACCAGCTGATTTGGCTTGATGGAAATTGTTTCTCAAGGGTACCTGTTGGGTCACCCCTGCGATCCCGTTCGTAGGCCCTGGCCGCGGCAAGTGTTCCTTGCGGATGTTTTTACTCGGAGTGTCCTCAGCACCTTCTGGCTGGCCGCGAACTTGCTGGACTAGGTCATTGTCTGCATCCTGGGAGTGAGCGACTGAATTTTGACGAGTCTGGCCATAATCTGCCTCACTTGTGATAGAGGGTAAGAGGGTGAGAAGCATGAGGTTCTGGTACCTCTTGAGCTCTCGCATCATGTCAGGGTCGTTCGCAAAACGGCGCTTCGACAGTTCACCAACACTCTTATTGATTACCCCGTTATTAATAGCCCCTCCGTTATTGTTTATCCCTCCGCTATTAATAATTCCTCCGTTACTCGCAATACCTCCATTGCTAGTTATACCCCCATTACTCGTTACTACACCGTTTGGACTCGCTCCAACAGGAACTCCTCTTGTGGCGCTAGGTTCAACCCGAGCACCTTCTTTCATAGCCCCAACTATACTGTTGCTCTTGGCAGGAGCTGCAGTGCGTCGCACTTCCATCTCATAAATCTGCGAGGTAATAGTGGTGGTGTTGTGATCTGTGCTGATGGCCGCTGGAGGCGCGTGTTAGTGCTGGCAAAGCCTGGTTCAAATGCTGGCCTGTCTCGCTCACTCTCGGGGGCCGTAACCTGCATTCGCCCCAGCTCGATAACCCTTGCATCATTCACGCTCGACAATCCGCTGAGTACATATCGCCTCTCTGCAACATGAAACTGAAGAATTTTTATTAAAGATTATCTATACTACAAGAGAGAATGCGTGTTTGTCTTCAAAAGTTGAAGGTCAGACGCTTATGGCTAGCCTACCCAGATTTGTAAGGGGAAATGGTCTGAGGTACAGAACGGACATAGGCTGGTCGAGGTGGGACTGAGTTAAATTATTTAAGAAATATTAGTAATTATTCACTCTCCCCCCCCCCCAGTCGATCTCACGAATTCAGTTCTAGTCAAGTGTGAAATATTGGTTGAGATGCCGGAAGAGTTTTTCATCAGAAAAAAATCCTTAAACAATATAGTTGCTTCATTGCTCCCTAATATTATACATTAGGGAGCAAATAAATTGTCATAAATTGTCAACAATGGGTTGAAAATTTATATAAATCGGGCGTGGATCACCTAATTCTCTTGTGTTCCTGTGGCAGCCCAGAGAAGGCTTAGAGATGAGTCAAAAAGAAAGACATCAGTAAAAACTGACGCTTTTGTGACACTCATTTTTGAGTATTTATTTATATATATATACAAGAGTTCTTACTTAATAATCTATACGTTGCTACCATATATCACCTCTGATTCGTCTTTCCACTAGGGTGAGTGAGTTTGGTTAGCCTTTCATTGATGGTGAATCCGCTCAGCTTTGGGCCAAGCCTAGCCACAATTCTCTCTGATGTTTAGACTCACGTGCATTTGTAAGTACATGTATGTGCTTGAATAGGGAGATACTAATAGATATAATCTTGACGTATGGTAAGTGGAATACAAATCTGTGCTATATTCCGTGACCATTTAACCTTTCAACGATCTCGCAACAAAACCAGACAATTCCGATTTTTCCTGGAACAGGACGACGTAGATCTTGGCAGCAGCAGATGGCATTCTGCTGGAATGTGGGCGGGAATAGGGAAAGGTCATGCTGCAAATAAATTAGAGAAATAGCCTAAGGCAAAGAGGGAAGGAAAATCGAGGAACATATATTACGGGACAACACACCCGCCACATTATTCAAGTATGACCACAGTCTGGATTTCCCAATAATAATACAGTGTTCTAGGAGTGATACATATGTGTGCATATATCTTCTAGGAGTGATACATACGGCTGCCTTTCCTGGTCGTTACTTTAAGAAGGAAATCATGCTGCAGGCATGATTAGAAAATCGCTGCTGCACGCAACAGACCTTTACTTGGTTGTTGGTTTAAGTGGTTGTTGTTTTATCTGGTAGTCGATTTACTTGGTTGTTGTTTTACCTGGTTGTTGCTTTACCCAGTTGTTGTTTTACCTGGTTGTTGCTTTACCCAGTTGTTGTTTTATCTGGTTGTTGTTTTACCCGGTTGTTGTTTTACCTGGTTGTTGTTTTACCCGGTTGTTGTTTTACCTGGTTGTTGTTTTACCCGGTTGTTGCTTTACCCAGTTGTTGTTTTACCCGGTTGTTGCTTTACCCAGTTGTTGTTTTATCTGGTTGTTGTTTTACCCGGTTGTTGTTTTACCCGGTTGTTGCTTTACCCAGTTGTTGTTTTATCTGGTTGTTGTTTTACCCGGTTGTTGTTTTACCTGGTTGTTGCTTTACCCAGTTGTTGTTTTACCTGGTTGTTGCTTTACCCGGTTGTTGTTTTACCTGGTTGTTGTTTTACCTGGTTGTTGTTTTACCCGGTTGTTGCTTTACCCGGTTGTTGTTTTACTTGGTTGTTGCTTTACCCGGTTGTTGTTTTACCCAGTTGTTGTTTTACCTGGTTGTTGCTTTACCCGGTTGTTGTTTTACCTGGTTGTTGCTTTACCCGGTTGTTGCTTTACCCAGTTGTTGTTTTATCTGGTTGTTGTTTTACCCGGTTGTTGTTTTACCTGGTTGTTGCTTTACCCGGTTGTTGCTTTACCCAGTTGTTGTTTTATCTGGTTGTTGTTTTACCCGGTTGTTGTTTTACCCGGTTGTTGCTTTACCCAGTTGTTGTTTTATCTGGTTGTTGTTTTACCCGGTTGTTGTTTTACTTGGTTGTTGCTTTACCCAGTTGTTGTTTTACCTGGTTGTTGCTTTACCCGGTTGTTGTTTTACCTGGTTGTTGCTTTACCTGGTTGTTGTTTTACCCGGTTGTTGTTTTACCCGGTTGTTGCTTTACCTGGTTGTTGCTTTACCTGGTTGTTGTTTTACCCGGTTGTTGTTTTACCCGGTTGTTGCTTTACCCGGTTGTTGTTTTACCTGGTTGTTGTTTTACTGGTTGTTGCTTTACCCGGTTGTTGCTTTACCCGGTTGTTGCTTTACCCGGTTGTTGCTTTACCCGGTTGTTGCTTTACCCGGTTGTTGCTTTACCTGATATTATTAATCAGATGCATCTAACGTAAGTGTGGTAGTTCATTTCAGCTGATATAATACAAATCTGAACACATTGGGTTGGCATAAATACGTTTCTAATGTTCTGTTTTCATAATGATTCTTTAAGTAACAGCTAAAGTTAAAGTGCAAAGCTAATCTCTGAAATGTAAATACCCCAAAAAAGTCAACTTGTGATAAATCTGTCATAAATAATCACAATCTAAGTGACAATTCAAAATCGATATATTTCTAATTGTGAATATTTACTTAAGGAAATGTCATAGGAATGTATCTAAAATCCTTACTTAAGGCGACAACAATTAAGAGACTTACAGTGTCACACTTGTGGTCAGCACAGTCGGCTTACAATCGTATGGTCCCGGGTTTGATCCACCAGCAGGATGCCTTTGGGAGTTTGTCAACTGTTGTAGGTTACATCCTAAGGAAGGTCAGACATTGGCCTAGGGGAACCTGTAAATTATATTGGAGAGCAGCAGTTCACTCAGTTCAAAGTGTTTTCCAGCTTCCAGTATTGGTCTGGAAGGAAGAGTCCAGATAGCTTCTATCACATGTATATCCCCCCAAGACGTCACTCCTCCCTCATGGGCTATTCGTATTGGAGTTAATCAAACCTTAAAGTAAATTTCAGATTATTCCATTTACACAATTTGTATTTTCTGATTCACGTTGCACAGTTCTACTTGCCGTTTAAAGATTATATTACTCTCGTTTTCTAGTTCCAGAATGTGGATTTACAATTCATTGAAACAGGACGCTTAGTTACGCAGCAGAGACGAATACCTCGGCCACTAGTGTATTGGCTTGTAGCCTAGGTAACCAGTTCATGACAGTGTCAGGACACTCTCACCATTGCCACTGTCTACACCTTCGTCATCTTCTTTCACCTCACATATATCATCCTTCCTCAGCTCGGCTACGTATGAGGCAATGATATGAGAGTGTTTGGGTGTTTGTTGTTGTAACGGCGCAAGACACTCACAGTCGCGCGGTCATGAACGAACTGGCAGGGAGTTGATGGTGTCGACCCCTCGTTGTGTGCGGCGCGAGTCCCAGTCAGTGTCCCCTCACGTCAATGTCTCCTAACATCACAGTATCTCCCCTCACATCACAGTATCTCCCCTCACATCATAGTATCCCCTCACATCTCACTGTCTCCTCACATCACAGTGTCTCCTCACATCACAAGAGCCTCCTCACATCACAGTATCCTCCTCACATCACAATGTCTCTTCACATCAGTGTAAAATCTCACACCACACTGCTTCCCCCCCCCCTTCCTTATAGAAGATAAACATGCTTGAGTTTAAACCAGCTTCAGTTCTGATGTTTAAATTTACATGATAATTTATTAGAGGAATTGTGAGTCTATAACGCCTGTCTCCTTCCAGATACATTGAAGGGGGAGACATCTGGCTCTCAACAATAGTGATAACAGTTACTAATACAGTATGCAAGTAAACCCTATATCAATATTGTATTACAATTATCAAATAATAAACTAATGGTCTGAACTTGTGCCGCGGTTACTGTCGCCCTGACCCCGTTAGTATGATCTGCAACAGTAACCCCGTTAGTGGTACCTGCCGCTGGAGTTCAGTTCTAAATTATGCATGTCAAGCGTAGTAGCGCTTCTGATAGTTACCCCGTGGAATAATAGTAAACTAGGCATGATTTTAGACGGTATATTCAGGCATCAATATACATAGTATATTCATTCTTATCAATATAAAGTTGGTTAGATCATGTTATATTCAATCTTATCAATATACAGTTGGGCAGATGATGATATATTCATTCTTATCAATAGACAGTTGGTCAGATCATGATATATTCATTCTTATCATTATGCAGTTGGTCAGATCATGATATATTCAATCTTATCAATATACAGTTGGGCAGATCATGATATGTTCAATCTTATCAATATACAGTTGGTCAGACCATGTATATTCATTCTTATCAATATACAGTTGGTCAGATCATGATATATTCAATCTTATCAATATACAGTTGGGCAGATCATGATATATTCAATCTTATCAATATACAGTTGGGCAGATCATGATATATTCATTCTTATCAATATACAGTTGGTCAGATTATGATATATTCATTCTTGTCAATATACAGTTGGGCAGATCATGGTATATTCATTCTTATCAATATACAGTTGGTCAGATCATGATATATTCAAACTTATCAATATACAGTTGGGCAGATCATGATATATTCATTCTTATCAATATACAGTTGGGCAGATCATGGTATATTCATTCTTATCAATATACAGTTGGGCAGATCATGGTATATTCATTCTTATCAATATAGAGCACAGCCATCCCACTCTTACCAGCATCCATTACGCTCCAGTCAGTCAATTGCAACTAGTACAACGAAGAATTTTGTTAAGTACAATATTAACAAAGATACTCAGGTTGAATATTAACTGTTAACAGTAACACTCAGCTAATGACGTAATTTTTAGTGAGCACTATTTAACTTAGTAAAGGCACTTGCGTAATAGTTAACTTAATAATACAGTAATAATTTAAAAAAATAATAATAATCGTTAACATTGATATTAGGTTGGATATTGAACCGTTATTGATCACAAGGAATACTGTTTGCCGGTCAACATCTATGACATTAGCATCGTTATTTAACTTAACATTGACAGCAAGATTGTCGCTGAACTGAGAACAGTAACCCCGTATAATGTGCAGTCTTTGGCGGTCACCGCTAACATTAGGCTGCAAAAGAAAACGCGTCCATTCTGTTTGTCCAGGATACGCAGCCACACCCGCGTCAGTGTGTTGTTTGTCCAGGTTACGCAGCCTCATGTGACAACGTGATAATTAAGGTCAGGTTGAGAGTAAACTACACTAAAGACGATGTTTCTACCGGTGATACGGGCTTTATCACAACTAACATATATACAGAGGTTAGGTTAGTGAGTTTCTGCAAGGTCTTAGAAAGTGGTCTTGTTATGCTAAGTGGCGAGGCTAGATCTTGGTGCACCAGCCTAAGACTGTGTGGTGTACCTTCTTCACCACCACCAGGAAGGTCCCGCCAGCACCCAGCGCCAGTCCAGAAACCAGCAGCCCCACGCCAATCCCCGCAAGATCACCTGAGTCAATGACAATACACTTATCTATTACTTAAATCCAAGTGTCAACAATATATAATAAGCACTCTAAGAGATTAATTTAATGCATACAAGGGCACAAATGATTATTATTTTAGTGATCCTTCTAGAGGCGGTACAGTACTCACCGGACGTGTACAGGTCGCCTGTGTTAACCGGGTTCATGGTGGCTGTGGAGGTGGAGACGCGGTCAGTGTCTGCAAGTAACACTTTATTTAACACTCACAATAGTGTGCTTCACTGCCTTACCATCTTTCCCCTTACCATCTTCCCCCTTACCATCTTTCCCCTTACCATCTTCCACCTTACCATTTTCCCCCTTACCATCTTCCACCTTACCATCTTCCCTCTTACCATCTTCCACCTTATCATCTTTTCCCTTACCATCTTCCCCCTTACCATCTTCCCTCTTACCATCTTCCACCTTATCATCTTTTCCCTTACCATCTTCCACGCCCGGCACACTGAAAAGTCATTTAACACCATCCTACATTTTTGACATGATATTCTGAGTGAGCTCGCCAGAAGTGTTATTGTAGTGTGGGCTGCATTAGAGGTCACTTATCCAAGACAAAGTAATCTGTACTGTTTCAAGATCATACGAGTGCAATTAGAATAGACTAACCTAAAAACCCCGCATGAAGGTGTCCCCAGCCAGATTTAATTGACAAACCCATCCTCCTATTTAGTGTGTTTTTGTAACTATATGGACAATCGTACATACATTGACGTAATGGACAATTAAATTGTAGAATTTGGTATTATTTTAGAACCCGGAAAAAATTAAGCTATAAGCCAAACTTAAATATTCCTAGGCCTATTATAGCACATATATGTACAATATTAGGCCTCAGAAAGCGTGTATTAGGCCCAGGATTGTTAGGCTAAGATAGGTTTAGTTTTATTAGCAACATAAGTACAAAATCTTCCAATTTACCTAAATTCAATAGTAACAAATTCTACTTTCTATTTGTACATAACGTCAATATATGTACGATGGTCCACATCATTACTATAAGTAATATCTAAACAGGAGGTTGGACTGTTTATTTAATGGATTAATCAATACACTGTTTAACTGCGCCTGTGACGCCTCGCCCATAGCAGCTGTGAGCTGCAGTCCCCCCTCAGACACTCGCTGCCAGGTGTATGACTTCATCAACCTCACACTAGAATAATAAGCCAATAACAAATGTATCATAACAAAAAGACTTTATATGCTATTTTCAATATTTATAACTGAATATTGATAATTTTTATTAAAGAGACTAAAATAGAGATTTTATTTTGTACGATAGAATAAAGGGTAGTCAACCCGTTCTCGCACTTGCTTATGGTCAATATTTTGCTTATTAATAAGTACTGTATATGCGAAATATACTAATTTATTGTGAATATTTGAGTTTACCTGAAAAGTTGAATAGAAAACCACGACCTAACGTAACCTTCTTAGTATGTTAAGATAAGCATTTTATTGCTTCTTAATTACAATTAGTACTTAGCCTATACCTATATTATATTACAGTTTTATAAAAATATTAAAATAAAAATAAAATATTTATATAAATTGCAAAGCAACTCAGGATATTGTCAAATTTTGTATAAAATCTCTATTGTTTAATAAAACTTAAAACAAATCCTAAAATTTAAAACTTGTGTCTAGCAAATTAGTAGGAAGTGTTAGTGCTTTGAAAAAAATATAATTTGGAATATACCACATATATACTTATTCATATGCGAAATATTGACTATAAGTAGTAAGTCATGTTGTCTTGTGCGAGAATACCCTTTCAACCTGGATTTATAGGCGCTACATCGGGCAACTTTGGGCTGCATTCAGTGCAGCTCAACCACTTGTGCTGGACGGTAGAGTGACGGTCTCGCTTCATGCAGGTCAGCGTTCAATCCCCGACCGTCCAATTGGTTGGGCACCATTCCTTTCCTCACCCCCGTTCCATCCCAAATCCTTATCCTGACCCCTTCCAAGTGCTTATATAGTCGTAATGGCTTGACGCTTTTCCCTGAAAATTCTCTGTGCAGCTCAGACAGGTGCCTTGAGGAGAAAGGTGCTTTTCAACTTTGAGGAAAATCAAAACTTCTTTGTGCAGTCCCTTTGGGGAATGAGAAACTATCTACTCTAGCACTGACATTGATTGAAGATATAATGATAACAGACATGAAGGATTCTAATGAACAAGTAATAAACCATTTTGCTACATTGCAGAGCTGACGCACTGATTGCATTTTCAACTTCACCACCTCAGCCACCCACACCACCAACCTGACAGTGACGACTCCTACGGCCTACAGTACGTATAAGGTATGTTTATTAATGTCTTTCTTTAATTATTTTTCTTGTAATTATTTAATTTATTTAATATTATTATGTTGTTAAGTGAAGGTTGCAGTGATGGGAGAACCTCCGTTCTATTTTTCCACAAGCCGCCACTGACTGTGAATATAGTAAACTAAACGAATACATCGTTAACTATGTTGATGATGGAATGATTAATACCCCTGAGTGTAATATCATTAAACACAATTCTTAGCTGTGTATTAAATCCTTCAGAACTGGGGAGTTGTTTGTAAAATTCAACTATTCGAGCATGAGTATGTAAACAGATTCATATACCTGGGTCTCCAAGTCTTATTACTGTATGGCTATGTAAGCAAACTCTGGCGTCAATGTTAAGTATTTAGTAATATTATATAAAGAATTATTATATAAAAAAAGGTCTTCGAGTTTTCAAAGCTGTGTTATATCATTGTCGGTTGTGGTGCCAACATGCTGTACCTGGAATATCTTATATACTATAGTTAATTACCTTTGTTTTTTGCACTATATGCTTGCTCTAGTGACTGAAAGAATGCTTTGAAAACTTTATAAAATGTTTAGCGAAATTATGGGGCATCATCCTCGGGTGTTTGTGTACTACAAAGGTAATTAACATTGTCAATGAACTTAATATCCCAAGCGTCATTGGTCAGGTTATTGAAATTAATATTTCAGTTATTAAAATATTAAGGAAAACTCACCCTGACCCTTGAACAGAAGCCTTGCAAACCTTCTTTGTCGAATGTCAACATCCTGCAATAACGTAGCCTAATACTGTACATCAACCCGATAAAAAAGGAAAATTGTGAGATGCGAACCACTTTTCTCAGTTAATAATTATATCTGAAAAAACTGCTACGGTTAAAATTTTTATTATTCATTGTCATTTGATTTGATTTAAGCTATTTGTTTAAGATGTACTTACAAGTAGTAGCCGTTGTAGTGCTATGGCCTGATGTAGTGGTGGTTGAGTGACCAGGAGTCGCGATGGTGGTAGTTGAGTGACCAGGATTCGTGATGGTGGTGGTTGATGGTGTGGTAGTTGAGGTGCAGTCCGGTTCAATTACCGGGGCGAGTGAACCATGTACTGCCACCAGGAGGAAGGTCTGAGGAGCAGAGTTTAAGAAGCTGTTTCGCATAGTCTTTTTTCATTTGTATTTAGTTCTATATTTGTCTCAATATTTCTCACTCCTTATCACGTGCTGGCTGCACCGACCTGACCGTCGGGCTTGTGTCCCTCGAGGTTGATGCTGCCGTTGTTGACGGCGGCGCTGATGTAGGTTTTGGCCTCCCTTCCTGGAGTCATGTGGGTGTAGAGCTGAGGGTCGAGCTCGCTGATCTTCGGGTGGCGGTAGAGCAGGACGAACTCCACCCACACTTCCCCGCTCGCCTCACTGATGGTCTGAGGGCCCCAGCGAGATCAATACCACTCAGGCAATGAGAACAGGAAGATTAATGGAGGAGAAGGAACCTCATGTCAGTAATGGTGTTGTGTTTTGGTTTTTCCATTTTTTCAGGGGACGGGAGCTTGCTAGGCAACAGTTGCATCCTGGGACAGATCAGTTGATGACTTAGATCTAATCTATCAACTGACATTTCCCAGGATGCAACCCACATCAGTTGCCTAACTCAAGAATATTTAGTTACTGCTAGATGAATAGAGGTGTGAAATTTAAGGAGGCTTGGCCAAACGTTTCGCCCTGACCGAGAATCTAAACTAATAGTCCAATCGGTTGTGAGCCAAATGTGTTGCCTACTCTGCCAATTACATATTAAGGTTTTAAATAACATTTACAGACATCTAAGAAATAGGAATATATTTAATACAAATTTATAAACTATTAAATAAACAATTGTATTTTCTTAATACTACAATGATATCTAATAACTATAGTCATACAGTATACTATTATTATCTTGTTCAACTTATGTGTAATATAATTAACTATTCATTTATTTCACGTAATGGGTTCAACCAGGAGAACCAATTATATTGTCCTTTATCTCTCCTGGATACTACATGGCATGCTTAAGCATACACTTAGGGTTGTAGAATGGAAGCATAAGTAACCTGCCCTTGTATTCTAGTTCAGTAATACCATCCAGGTGTCTGCTGGAGAGCGAGAGTTTGCCAGGCACGGCTGACACTTTACCCCCATTGTACATAAATATTTGTTGTACTATTCCAAAGACAAAAATATGAACAAGGCGTGAAGCGAGAGAAGCGCATACGCAGATTGGTCCCCTTCCCCCTGTCCTACCCGTCCTGTTCAGTGTATATTCACAGTATTCTTTAGTCCTGAAGTATGTTTAAGACTTGTCTACTAGCTGGTTGGTCAGTAAGATCTTTCTGAAGACTTGATACACTTCCCGAGACTTATAGGTCTTGAGCCTCCACATTTAAATTGTTGAGAATGTGATTACCTTGACTCTGGTGATCCTGATGACGGAGACGCGGCCGTAGTGAGCTAGCTGCGTCTGCCAGTGCTCGTTGGTCAGGGAGGACGTCAGCAGCGGCGTCCACACCACCTCCGGCCACGATGAAACTGTTGGTGGCGGAGGTGAGGTGGTCACACCTCGGGTCATACCTCAAGTCACACTTGTGCTCTTAACAACCCGTCCTCTCGAATAGTACATCTCATTTTGATGTAAAAATCCTTAACGTCAAAATATGATGTACAATAAATCATAGCGGCTCGCAAAATTGATAGGCTGTCACGTTTCCCATTCGTGGGTCTTAGGTTAGGTTCTGCCAATTTAGTATACCATTTTTGTGTCGTGACAACTCAAGAGGACGGGGTGTGTGCATGTGGTCTTTCTTCCCCAACATACACACATACTTGACATACTTCATTTTCCCTGGATCTTGGGATCCAGGAAAATCCGCAATAAAACTTTTGAAATATTTAACGAATTAAATCGCAAGATTAAATCATGTTCATTTGAACATCAAAATAATTTCTGAGTAAACAAGTTTCCCACTAAATGATAAGCTTAGAACATGTTACATTGAGAACCAAGATTAAAACATATATTGGAAATAAAAACAGTGACCTACACTCGATCATTTCCCCCTTGAGCGTCGACCTCTCGGCCCGCGTTCTGTCGACCCCTTACCGTCAAGCTTGAACATGAGGTGGTCCCTCCAGTTGGCGGAGTAGCAGTCATAGGTGTCGAAGTCTCCTCCGTCGGTCTCAGCGTCGTCGGAGCGCGCGCCAGACTCTAGGTCGAAGTTGTACAGTTGGTAGACGAAGGCTGACCCCGCTGGGATCACGCCATCTACTGTCTCTATGTCCTGCAGAATTAGTAGTGGTTGTTACAGTGAGTTGTAGTTGTAGATGATGACAATAATAGTGGTGGTAGATGCTGGTAATAGTAAACGTTAATAATACTGGAGGTGGTAGTAGCAGTGTGCAAGCTCCATGCAAAGTGAGATGTTAGGAGGGTAGAACTGAGTACACGGCTGTGACACGAGGAGGACTTACATGTATGGCCGTCACACGAAGACCGATGGGCACCTGACGCTCCTCGAGGAGGTGGTCTCCCATGTCTGTCACCGTGGTCACGTTCTTCTGTAAAACCACAAAACACTACTTCACCCCCCTTGCTGAATATGATGCCCCAACACTCCTCCCCAGGGCTGCATAAGGTCCCTAGAGCTGAACATCTGAACATTTCGCAGCCCTGAAGGCCATCAGGGCTGCGAACGGGATCCCTGAGAACCTATTTCATTTGGTTTCACCGTGTATCTGACAATTTGTGTATTATAAGAACATTTATATATCCCATGACCTGTTACAGATGTTGAATCTGTCCTCTTGAATCTAGATGTGCTCTCAAAAGTTCATATAATTTCAAATGATTATGTGGTACTTTGCATGTGATAATTATTGGGACTTTGCATGCGATAAATATAATTTCCGTTATAATAAACTGACCCGAGTGTAAATATTAAAAGTTTATTAATAATTGAAATTTACACGAGACAAGGTAAAAATGTGTATATAGCAGAGAACAAGATAAAGCAGGGAGGTTAACGGGAGCGAGGTTGTCCACGACTCCACGGGACACACGACAAAACACAAAGGTTACTGACGTTAGCGAAGGTCCACTGCCAGAGGGTGGTGGTGTCTCCTCCTGTAGCGTCTACAGGCCAGTCGGTCCGTAGGGCGCGCCACTCCTGCCCCTCCACATACCTCGTCGCCCTGAGCCAACACCACATGTTAGTGCTGCACCCTTACTGTCTCCTGGGTAACTTACCCTACCCTCCACCATTCTCTGTATTCTCCCACATTATCTTCGTCCCCCTCAATCCGTTCCTCTCCACCTGCTGTCCTGGACATGCACCTGTAACATGTCCTGACTAATTTACAAACAAAACGCCAGGTATACCTCTTGTCCGGGGAGTCAAAGATTGTCGCGTGCTCTGCTGGCACGAGTAAACACTATTGACTTTGAACAAATATTCAATTTAACATTAAGAAGTAATCTTAAGACAGAGTTTTGTTTTCCGGAGCCTCTCTCAACAGCATCCCGCCTCACTCATCATCTGTCGTGTTCACCAAGTGGAAGGTGTTGTATCGTGTCGGGAGTTGTTGTGGAGATGTATGAGAGCAAATATATACTTACAGTGCAACAACACGATGTTGTTGTTTTAGATTCAGCTCCTGGGAACACAAAGTTCCAAGTAACACGGGCTATGGTGAGCCCGTAGTGGACTTACCTGGCGCAGGAGCGGTGCTGTAACTTGTTCACATGAAGCATGTGTTTTAGAATGTAGTTTATCTTAAGGTTTCCTATAGTCTGGGAGAGGACGCCGCCTACGGCTGTGCAGGTCCCACTAGGTCAACTCCTCATGACCCTTCCCAAAGAGCAACCCACAACAGCGGCCAAGCTCAAAGTACCTATTTACCATTAGGTGAAAAAAGAGATAGAAGGTGATAGGTATCATACCCAATCATCTGTCTCGCCCTGGCTTCAAACCCGGGATCCTCTGTTGTAAGCTGAGAACGTAGACCACTGCCCTGCACGGACCCATATTAGTATTGTGAGCATGTGGGGATTCCCGTGTGGCAGTCCGCTAAGTCAGTCTGGATGACAGGCCCGCCCTCCCCATTTGCCACTCCGTAAAAAATGTAACTGTTTTTCCTAACCAGAAACGTTCTAACTAAACGTTTCTACTTCTTCGTTCTACTTCTAAACGTTGAGCCTATTGAGGCCCATCCCTAGAAAACGTCAACATTACCATGCTTCCAGGGTAATACGTTGCATTTTTAACAGGTTGATTTGGTATAAAATGCAACATTAGGTGAGAGGACAGGTTGCAACCTCAAGCATTCCCCTTAACATTCGCGTGAACGATAAATTTTGAGAAATTTAGGAAGAGAAATATAGTTTGCTGTAACTATTTAAAGGATCACTAAAGTTTATAAAAGATTAGGAGGGTTTGTCTAGCATTATTAACTTAAATGAGTTCTGGAATATCCTGGTGAGACAGTGCTGGAAGGGTGCTGGTGTTGTTATTAGGGTGACGCTGCAGCACTCGATGAAGGAACAGTTAAGATGCCAGGTACAGCCAAGGCGGTCAAGCTAGTGTTGCTTGATACTTTAGTACACTGGTGTGTGATAACGACAGTGTGTATACCACCTACCCAGGACCGTAGTAGGTGTAGTGGGTGATGTCACTGCCGAAGAAGGCATTGGGGTTGTCAGCCCAGAGGAGCGAGATGCCGGTGATGTCGGACCAGTCGGTGCGGGAGTCGTTAATGATACTCACCACACACCCGCTCGACATGCTCCCCGTCGCGAACGAGAACTCAATTCCTGGGAGGTTAGTGGCAGAAAGAGGGAGGGTGGTTAGTGACAAGGATGGAGGGAGGGTGCGAGGTTAGTGACAAGGATGGAGGGAGGGTGCGAGGTTAGTGACAAGGATGGAGGGAGGGTGCGAGGTTAGTGACAAGGATGGAGGGAGGGTGCGAGACTAGTGGCAATGGGATGGAGGGAGAGGGATGGCAGAGGGAGGATGGTGTCAGAGGGAGGGAGTGTGCGAGGTTGTTTTCACTGGGAAGGAGGGAGGGTGGTGTCAGAGAGAGTAGACAGGAGTAGGGAGACACGTCTTACGTAAAGGGGGAATTATAAAAAATCATGATGATTAAAACAAAAATGATAATGCACACATCTACATAACCTAAAAGACCTTTAATGTAACCCTGTCGTGTTGTTGGTTATTCGTTCATTATATTAATACCCGAGATGATACATATTAGTTATTAAAATCAACGTGCTGGGTTACTTCTGGGTCATAGTATTTACAATGACAGTATTCCCGAGTGGACAGTACCGTCATTGAAGTCGAAGACCTCTGTGGTGGGAACGATCTCCTTGGCTCTGGTGACAACGTCGTGGTCAATTCTGTATAGCTGCTTCTGGAAGTCATACCAGGCCTGCCTCCCGGAGCATGTCCACAGCCGTCATGGCGAGTGGTTGTGAATTCACAGGTGTAGGAGGTCAGTGGAACAGTTCACATGACGGAGGAACAGTCCACAAAGGGACGCATCAGGCCCCAGAAGGATAGAGCAGGTCAGAGGAGTGGAACAGTCCACATTAAAAACAAAAATATTATATAATCGTATAAATAAATTAGGAAACACTGTTAGTCTAGTGTAATAACATTGCCAATACTGAACATTAAACATTTAAAAATAATCACGAAGCTAAAAATGGTTTAGGCAGAAGTATTATTAAGAAAACGGGTAAATAATCTCGAAAGCAAATGAACGGTGTGAGGGGTCAATAACACCAGCTTCACTGTGGTCATCACTACCTTTGCTATGTAAGCATTAGGGCCTAAGGACCTACGAAAATAGGAAGACCCAAGAGCCTACTTACATCTGCCCAGGAGAAGTCATGGACAGTAGTCTGATGCATCTCTAAACTGAAGGTAAAAAGGATATCCTCGGAGAAATCTGGGAAGGGGTGACCCGGCTCAGGGATGAGTGTTGAACAGTACACGTCTTGTGGGATCTGTCTCACCGTCACGGCCACAGCACCACACCCGTCACAGCCACGGCACCACACCCGTCACAGCCACGGCACCACACCCGTCACAGCCACGGCACCACACCCGTCACAGCCACGGCACCACACCGTCACAGCCACGGCACCACACCGTCACAGCCACGGCACCACACCCGTCACAGCCACGGCAACACACCGTCACAGCCACGGCACCACACCCGTCACAGCCACGGCACCACACCCGTCACAGCCACGGCAACACACCGTCACAGCCACGGCACCACACCCGTCACAGCCACGGCACCACACCCGTCACAGCCACGGCACCACACCCGTCACAGCCACGGCACCACACCCGTCACAGCCACGGCACCACACCCGTCACAGCCACGGCACCACACCCGTCACAGCCACGGCAACACACCGTCACAGCCACGGCAACACACCGTCACAGCCACGGCAACACACCGTCACAGCCACGGCAACACACCGTCACGGCCACGGCACCACGCCGTCACAATGGAGTTGAAGAAGACCATATGAGCTACTCGTAGTTGAACAAAGAGGACCTTACCGCACAAAGAACTTAATCACATTACCTAAATATAAAACAAACTAAATTAAAACATTAAATACAATGAGTAATTTCATGGAGTTAGATGTGACTATTTTTACAACATTAATTTAGTACAAGCGCCACTATGCACGCACTAAACTACTACAATATAGTTAGCAAGGTATAACTGCCGCGAAGTATTGAAGTTGTCTTATATCTTATCGTGTAAACTTAATACGTTTTGAATGTGGCTCAAACAAGTGTTGTCCAGCCCCTTGACTGAGCAATACGGCGACAGCCTTGCGTCTGCAGGTCGACGTTCGATCCCCGATGGTCCAAGAGGTTGAGCATCGACGTTCATTCACTCCGTTCCCCTATCCTGTTCTCTTATCCCTTCCATGTGCTATATAGTCTTATATACTTGTTTTGTGCTTTCTCGTAATTTCCTTTCCTTTCAGGCTAGTATATATATGGTATACACTATACACTACGAGATAATGTAGTGAAACTGTATACTTTAGTAATGTATGGTAGAGTGAAACACTGTATGAAACATTTGTCTCAAAAGCACACCGTAAATAACAAAACACTGTGCATGTTTGGTTTATAAATACCTGCAGAATTCCTACCAAAAAACACACAGGTTGAAGAAGGCAATATTGTTACCCACGGTGAAGGTGGAGTAGTCGAGGTCTCCAGACCTGAAGTACATGATGTTGTGCACCAGCTGCTTAGTGGAGGTGGTGCCTCCGTCAGCCTGGGCCTGCAGCACCTCCACCTCCCACCCCAGAGGCACGGCCACTCCCCCAGAGCCTCCTACATGCCAGTTGGAAGCTGCGTCCCGCCAATGAGGTACAGGTCAGTGAATAGCATGTGCACATAGCCACAATGTCCTTCTCTAGTATAGAATTTCCAACAGAGATTATAACAGAACAACCAAAACAGGAACCTCAAAATCTGGTGTACTAATTACTGAAGACTGACCGCTCCAGTAGGTGGCCATGGAGACATTCGGGGTGCCAGCATCGGCCTCGAACTGCTTCAGGCCGCACCAGTCCCACCGGAAGGTATCCATCTCCCGGAAGCGATCGGTGCCCTGTTGAGCCCCGCCGGCCGAACAGTGGCGCCACCAGCACCAGGTACCGCGGGGGAGCAGTGTTAATAGAACACGTTAACTTGGATATAGAAAAACAAAGGAAACTGAAGAAGACCTGTTTACCCATACTAGCCAACTCCTATTTATTTCCACCCAAACTCCTTCATAAATATGTCTTACCTATTCATGAAATAATTGAGTGATCCCATTTCTGTTATGTTACCTAGTTACTTGTTCCATAGTTGAACAACCCCAGAGTGTGATGAGGGTGGACGTGTGGGAGAGGGGAAGGGAGCATCAGTGGAATGGATTGATTAATCGATGAAGATTAAGCCACCCTAGACGTGGCACGGGCATGAATAGCCCGTAAAAGTGGAATGGAGTGTTGTAGTGGTGAAGATGATGAGTGTGTGTTGTGAGCGGTGATGTCAGAGGTTGACAGGTGAGGCAAGCTATGTGCTAAGTGGGTGGGAGGACGGGAACTGTTAGGGAGGGGGGGGGGGGGAGAGGCGTGGCGAGAGGTGAGGTACTGACCTTGTAGTGAGCGTCGGGCCAGGAGAGGATACCCAGGGGCACCGCTGGGTCCATGATGTGGTCGGTGGAGAGGTTCAAGCCGGACCCCATGAGGACTGGAAAGAGATAAGTCGCCTCCTCCAGCGGCCGCAGGATGCACTCGTTGTTGGTCCCTGTGAGTACATCACACTTAGTAAAACATGACACTCTCAGGGCAAAATGACAGTAACACGACGCACTCAGGACAGCACGATACACTCGGTAACCTGTACACCTCTACAGGTCTCAAACCTGTACACTACACTACACTAAACCTCTACACTACACTACACTACATTACATTACACTAAACCTCTACACTACACAACGAGGTCTTCCTCTTTACAACCTGTCCTCACACTTAAGGCACCTCAACCTATCACCCTCGATACGATAGCTAGATTAGCCGAGATTCGTATGTTTAATAAATGAGCTGCAAATCATACGATTTTTGAAGATACTGTACTAAAATAAAGGAGAAAACCTCCACATACATTCTCTCGATCCTTTCACTCCGGCAACAAATAAAGACCGACTTGCCTCCAGCTTTGGGTTTGTGGACCTCGACCATCTGCTTGGTGTCCCATCTGAGGATGTACCTGGTGGTGAGGTGCTTTGCCGGTAGCACTATGGAGATCCTGTTGCCCGGCCCGTCGTACACATATTCCATATACACCACTGCCGACGCCAAGGAGATAGTGTTACCAAGTGAGGTGTGGTGGTGTTTGTTGGAGGTGCGAGTTGAGGGGGGAGGTATTCGTATGTGAGGTGCAGTCAATGGAGTGTGAGAGCAGCGGAAGGCATGGGAGAGTCACATGAAGGGTGGGAGAGCAATGCGAGACGTGGTAAAGCAGTATGAAAAGTAGGAGAACAAAGGGAAGCGTCAAGGCTCACCATAGCCCATGCTACATGGACATTTCGTTCTGAGTAGCTAAATCTAAGACAACAACAACAACAAGGGAAGCGTGGGAGAGCAATAGGAAGCGTTGGAGAGCAACAGGAAGCGTGGGAGAGCAGCAGGAAAGGTGACAGAGCAGCGGGAAGCGTGGGAGAGCAGCAGGAGGCGTAGGAGGGCGCTGAGTGACTCACCAAGATGATGCATGCTGGTGTAAGGTTGCCCCAGTACTGCTCTGGTGAGCTCCACCTTGGCAGTGTACCGGCTGGCCACCGTGGGCTGGGGCGGAGGATCCGCTGAAACATATTAAGTTATTTCAGTTTAATTAGAACTCAAATCAATCCTGTGGGCGAATGTTGAAAGGCTACACATAATGAGTACACGAACTGAGCCCAATAATCTACAGACAAACGTAATTTAAGTTTGTAGTGAATTAGTCATAGTTTTAATTCCCTCAAGTTTGTGATAAAGTTACAATGGAAGTAATCTAATTACTGCACTGTACACACACAAATCACAATTGCGTGATGCATCAAATGAACAAACCCACAAGGGCCGTGACGAGGATTCGAACCTGCGTCCGAGAGCATCCATCCAACACAGTCACTTGCACCGGGACAGGTGTTCTCACCCGCAGGTACGAGATGACATTGCGACAAAGAGGGAAGCTATGTCGTAATTCGCCAAAAATTATCTCCCTTATAACTACAGGAGACAAATTTGACTTCATCTTCAAACGTCAGATCACTTTTATAAGGGTTCGAACATCAATCAAGCATTTTTGACGGGTGCTTGTCATAGAAAACGTTGGGACCCCCCTGTAGTGGGACACTATCAGAGATAACGTAAATTGCGTTACTGAACATTTGAGTGGTAACAACAAACAATATGTGAAGAAGAGACTGTAAAGTATGTGGCCTGAGGAGACTGTAGGGACCCCATCCCTCTGCTATTTCCCGGTATCGGGCAGCCGGGACGCATCCGATCCCTTGATCGTCGTCGCCCCTAAATCAACAACAACAAATACAAATAATCGCCAACAAAACCTAACCACCTAACCTACGTCTAACTACACAAAATGCGTCTTTGGGGTCAGCCGCCGCTGGGTCGGGCTGTGCCCCAAAGACACAGGACGGGCTGTGACAGCTTCACACATCACCAGTTAGGCAGAGTCTCATATAACCAAGATGCATCGACGTTAGTACGAAGGGAATGAGGAGTTACTTACGGTGATCTGGTAGTGGGTCGCAGTACTGTGTGTCTCCATCTCTGCCACCCTGCCCTGCTTCGTCTGCCACCCCTGCTCCTGCTGACAGGCTTGCCACAAGCACCCGCACGCCCTCCTCCCCTGCCAGGGCTGCCACAGCCACCAGAATGGGCAATATGGCAGCCAGTGACGATAGTCTCAGTGCCTTCCCAACAGTCATCCTTCAGTCACCCTCTGAAAATGGAAACAGTTAATGGCTGGGAACATCTTTGAAGCAGGACGGCAGAATCGAACCAGCATCATGGCTCGCCCCAGACGCGTGCCTAAACCCATAAATTACAATGAGTTAAAAGTTGCACAACCTGGAGTCTGCCCGAACTTATTATGCGTTTGGAGATGCCGAGATATATCACGTTATTGTGATTTCACTGTGATTAGCTAATGACTTTCCGACAGTGGCGGAGAGCTGTTCATATTACCTTCTACAGTAACAGCCTGGTGGGTCAGACCAGCAACCGGAGGCATGTTCAGAGACCGGATCGTGGGGACATTGATCCCAGGAACCTTCAACAGGTAGATAAGTAGGTAGTACGATGCCCCTCTACTGTTTACAACCACTAGCAACTAGTAGATAAAGTTAGTTGTAGATGAAACCGGGCCTATTATAACTAATCTACACCAGCAGCTGGCAGATATATTAAATGATAGATTTGATCATAAACTTAACAAACCTGAAGGTGGAGTTAGAGGGGTTGATGGGCAGGTGCTGACACACGACTGTGACACCTCACACCAGGTTACCTCAACAACACTTGACTTATCCTTATCTACCATGCCGCCCCCTGCCGACACACACACACACACACACACACTCTTTCTCTCCCTCTCCCCCCCCCACCCTCCTCACACTCTTCTTGCTTCCTTTCCTCACTGCTCGCATTTCCTTACCGCTACCTATATAGAATCAGTGAAGCCCTTAAAACTAAACCTCCACCTGAGGCTTTCAAGTGGAAGCTTCACGTCACGATGGAGTTATCAGATCAGCCAGGTTGTGATGACTATGTGTCCATACGAATTACGAGTTGTTATAAAACGGAGTGCTTGCTCTGTAGGGTCAATGTTTAAGGTAATGGAGTAACCAACTACTGGGGTTAGGTAAGGCCCGGCCCCCAGGGAAGACCTAACAACTGCCAAAGAGTCAGGACCACCTCGAGAGCTCGCTGACAATCCAGCATGTATAATTTAGTCCTGAATATAATTCCAGACTAAAGCAAACTCTCAGTGTATCATGAAGCCTGCGGATAATTACTTGCGCCTGAGAAATTATATAGATTATCTATAATCGATGCTGTGAGGGGTTAGGTGCTATCTTGTCCTTTATTTATGAGTCATCTTGGGGTAATATCGCAGTTTCTGGCACGTGATAAATTTGGTTAGGTGTTGGGCTTAAACTTATTAACTACTTGAGGGGTTATTAAGGCCGTGACACTAGCTTACTAACCAGCCAGCACCTACACTTTTGTCTTGATCAGCTAGGACAAAAGTAAACTCATTAAATACATCCTTTGAAGCTGGGTACATCTCTCGATGTTTATAATCCAGACCTAAGATAAAATATGCAAGGGTTAGTATATTATCTGAATTACATTCAATATATGTATATCTCTTCTGTATGTATGCAACCCCATCCTTAAATTTGCGCTACACCTATATCCTATATCAAATGTTTTATAAATCAACAATTTAGTGGACAAATTTGCTAATTTAGGAAAAAGATTAGGCTAAGTTTGGTTTATTTAATCGTGTTTTCTCCGCTTCAATTTTCACATTTAAAGATTTAGGTTTCTCGTTTTGTAACTAATGTTTTTGGCAATTAGGTACCTTGAGCTTTGTAACTTCTTTATGCACACACGAATATTGAAATATCCTTGTTGTCAACCCAGAGTTTGCTCCTGCACGCTGGTAGACTAGGCTTGCATCTCGTGTTTCCTCCTGACGCTATATTTGACTAACCTTCCTGTGAGATAGGGATATTAGATGAATTCATAACTAGCTCTTGATCGACTGATCGACCTGATCGGTCCTGATTGTATAGGTGCTCTACAATCCCTTATATTGGATAGAGCAACAGCACACTGCTGTGGACCTAATTTTGTTAAAAAAATAAGTTTTTGCATTAAATTTTGTAGTTAGAAAACGAGCATAATAATATCAAACATAATAAATATATATTTTTAATAATTTGCATATATTAGTGAAGATTTTTCACCTAAAATTATAATATTAATAAGTCATGGTTACCAAGTATGTTAAGTATGTTAGTAATATTTGGATGCAGTTGAAGTCTTTCAGAGAAAACGACGCACTTATCAGATACTGAACTGTGAAAGTTCTGAAAGCGAAACTGCTTTAAACACGCCAGGACCTGAGGGCAGAATTTTGTTGACCCCAACATTTCTCCATTAGTTTTGTGTTCCTGGGTTCTAATTTATTTTCAATACTCTTCTGGTGAACAAGGAATATGTTTAAACGAGAAATATAAGTAATTGTTGTTCAGAACACGAAGACAGAAATATGACTCCTGAGCGTGATTTTTGAGCCGAATTCTGACTGCACCTATTTTCAGTTTCAAATTACGACTTTTTATACCGAAAATAGGCAAATTACTGAAAACGGCGATGGGTCATATTTTGCCCAAACCCCCACTGCAGTTTTCAAATTATCTGAAATGTCGGAAATTTGACCCCTGAGCGTGATTTTTGAGCCGAATTCTGACTCTTTGCGCCTATTTTCAGTTTCAAATTACAACTTTTTATAACGAAAATATGCCAATTACTGAAAACAGCGATGGGTCATATTTTGCCCAAACCCTCCTGCAGTTTTCAAAATATCTGAAATGTCGGAAATTTGACTCCTGAGCATGATTTTTGAGCCGAATTCTGACTCTCTGCACCTATTTTCAGTTTTAAATTACGGCTTTTTATACCGAAAATATGCCAATTACTGAGAGCGGTGGTGGGTCACATTTTGCCCAAACCCCCCTGCAGTTTTCAAAATATCCCAAACATCCCAAACTCGATTCCTGAGCCATATTTTGGAGCCAAATTCTGGCTCTCTGTACGTATTCGCAGTTTGGAATTTCGACTTTTTATACCAAAATATGCCAATTACTGAAAACGGCGGTGGGTCACATTTTGCCCAAACCCCCCTGCAGTTTTCAAAATATCCCAAACATCCCAAACTCGATTCCTGAGCCATATTTTGGAGCCAAATTCTGGCTCTCTGTACCTATTCGCATTTTGAAATTCCTACTTTTTATACCAAAAATATGAGTTTTACTGAGAGCGGTGGTGGGTCACATTTTGCCCAAACCCCCCTGCAGTTTTCAAAATATCCCAAACATCCCAAATTCGATACCTGAGCCATATTTTGGACCCAAACTTTGGCTCTCTGCACCTATTCGCAGTTTGAAATTACGACTTTTTATACCGAAAATATGCCAATTACTGATAGCAGAGGTGGGTCACATTTTGCCCAAACCCCCCTGCAGTTTTAAAAACATCCCAAACAACCCAAATTCGATACCTGAGTCATATTTTGGACCCAAATTCTGGCTCTCTGCACCTATTTGCAGTTTGAAATTCCGACTTTTTATACCGAAAATATGCCAATTACTTGAAGCGGCGATGGGTCACATTTTGCCCAAACCCTCCTGCAGTTTTCAAAATGTCCCAAAAATCCCAAATTCGATACCTGAGCCATATTTTGGACCCAAATTCTGGATCTCTGCACCTATTCGCAGTTTGAAATTCCGACTTTTTATACCAAAAATATGCCAATTACTGAAAGCGGCAGAGGGTCACATTTTGCCCAAACCCCCCTGCAGTTTTCAAAACATCCCAAACATCCCAAATTCGATACCCGAGCCATATTTTAGGCCCAAATTCTGGCTCTCGGCACCTATTCGCAGTTTGAAATTCTGACTTTTTATACCAAAAATCTGCCAATTACTGAAAGCGGCGGTGGGTCACATTTTGCCCAAACCCCCTGCAGTTTTCAAAATATCCTTAACATCCCAAATTCGATACCTGACCCATATTTTGGTTCTCTGCACCTATTCGCATTTTGAAATTCCGACATTTTATACCAAAAATATGCCAATTACTGAAAGCGGCGGTGGGTCACATTCTGCCCAAACCCCCCTGCAGTTTTCAAAATATCCCAAACATCCCAAATTCGATACCTGAGCCATATTGATTTGGCTCAAGTCGATTCTCAATCGACTTGAGAATGGTCCAGGACGGACCGAAACGTCGTCGTCCCTTCAACTTCTAGTGTGTGGTCTGGTCAACATACTTCAGCCACGTTATTGTGACTCATCGCCTGCATACCTGAGCCATATTTTGGAGTCAAATTTTGGCTCTCTGCACCTATTCGCATTTTGAAATTCCTACTTTTTATACCAAAAATATGAGTTTTACGGAGAGCGGTGGTGGGTCACATTTTGCCCAAACCCCCCCTGCAGTTTTCAAAATATCACAAACATCCCAAATTCGATACCTGAGCCATATTTTGGACCCAAACTTTGGCTCTCTGCACCTATTCGCAGTTTGAAATTCCGACTTTTTATACCGAAAATATGCCAATTACTGATAGCAGAGGTTGGTCACATTTTGCCCAAACCCCCCTGCAGTTTTAAAAACATCCCAAACAACCCAAATTCGATACCTGAGTCATATTTTGGAACCAAATTCTGGCTCTCTGCACGTATTCGCAGTTCGAAATTCCTACTTTTTCTACCGAAAATGTGCTAATTACTGAAACAGCGATGGGTCATATTTTTACCAAACCCCCCTGCATTTTTTAAAATATCTGAAATGTCGGAAATTTGACTCCTGAAAGTGATTTTTGAGCCGAATTCTGACTCTCTGCACTTATTTTCAGTTTCAAATTACTTAAATTTATATATACAGTATACAGCTTTTTCTTCTCCGAGGCTATGGGTCCCCACACTTGCACACCAGAAGTGGTACCCTCACAACTTATATATTTATATATATATATATATATATAATTTTCCAGATAATGATAACTCTTGTGGCCAGTAAAGACGTTAATGACTCTGCCATGAGTCACGTGGAAGATAACAGGTGGACAGACGTATGGCAATCATTAATCACCATACATGATGTTTCATTCTCTGTGTATTTACCTATTGGTTCTTACCTAGTTGTATCTACATGAACCAAGATACAGCGCTTGAGCCCCGTTTCGTGACTATCGTATTTGGTGGATCCAGACGTTCAATGCTAAGCTAAACTTTCTCCTGAAGCTGTGAATTGTGGTTGCCCCCACGACCTCTGGTTCAAGTTCATCCCACTTGCTTGCCACTCTCACTATATACGCGTACATTTCCTTATATTTCTCTGCAGCATCAGTTTTTTTTCTTTTTTCAAATTTTCACTTGTACCTGTCTTCCCCTTTTAGTTGTCCCTTACCTGGAAACGACTATATCCTTCCAATTAATCTGCCTCATCTTCGTATCTTGTTCTTGCATTTTCCAATGTCGTCAGTTTTAGTTCTTTGGCGTCTTAGACAATCCTGATTGCTAATTTCTCTTATCTCTTGTCTTATGACAAGCTTTCGTACTTTATTTTTTTGTACTTTCCCAGGTGTAGGTTTCATACTGGAGCTGTTTACCCTATGGCTGGCCTAACATGCGCCGTGTTTAAAACGATTTCTCTATGCTGCTTAGACCGCTATGCTGGTATATGCAGGTTGCATATACTGCAAGCTCAACCCCTGGAAGCACACCTAGGTGAGTACACATCACTAGGATGCAGCCACAAAAGCTGCT